GCTTGTTGTCCATTGGAATGGAACGTGAGCTGTCTCTTCTTGTTGGATGTCCAAGAAGTGTTGGATGTCCTGCTTTTGTCTTTTCCAGAGGAATGGAATCCTCTTCTTCCCAGCTGGGGAAGCTTCTTCCTTCATCACAGCCTCCTCTTCTTTGGAATCGAATGGCTGTGACTTGTTGTACATGAATGTGTGCTTGCTTGATGTGGACCTTGGTTTGCACCTCTTGTAGATGGGTGCTGGCAACTTGTGGCATTCCGTCGAACTGTTGCTTGCTTTGAGCTGGTTCCATAGTGGAACTGTTCCTGTGGAACTGTGGGAATCCTCTGCAGAAGATATCCCGGTAGCACTGGTGTGTGGCTACCCTTGCTTGAGTAAGCTTGCTCTGCCTTGATAGGCTTCTGTGGTCGCACTTGCAATCTCATGATGGATCTTCTGAGTCGATCCCGAGAGTCAAACTGAATCGATCTCATGGTCGCTGCTTGTGATTCGATCGCTTCGTGTCATTCGATCTGGCATGATCGTTTCTTGTCAGTCGATCTGGTGTGTCAATCTGGATAGATCGATCGGAGAATTCAAAGGAAGGTTGAAAAAGGTTTGAGACTTTGGTTTTGGTGGGTACAACTTTATCAATACCACTCCTGCTGTCACTGTTGGCACACTACTGTGAGCTAACTGTGGCAGGACTTGTACTTGTTGTAGCCAAAGCTGGCTTGGTTGGTGTGGACATTGGATGCACCTTGGGGTTGCTATGGAGCTAGAGGAGGTTCCTCTAAGATTCCTGAGAATCGAAAGCACTCAAAGTGTCTATCTGTGCTTGGGTAAGCAGGCTCCTGCCTTGGGAAGGCTTGCAATCCAGTCTCGCGTCGTCGTGTCGACTGGCTTGCAATGAGTCCAAAACAAACCTTGGAAGTAGTTGCTCGGCATCCCGCTTGGTAACGAGAAGCTGAGCGGTGGAGACGAGACAATACGGACATTGTCATCATCAGAAAAGTCTTTGTGGCTGGCACTCCTGCTGAGAGTGATGCCACTCCTGGAAGACTGGTGTCGGATGATACCGTCACTTGGTGTACCTGCGGCTCGGACTGGGAAGTTCGGCTGCATTGACACTTGATGGGGTTGGAAGCCCTTCGTAGATGGAAGCTGGTTGAAGCTTCTGGAAGTCGTAGACTTGTGGGAAGTGATGCCCTATTGGAAGGTGCATGGAAGCTGGGAATGATGTAGCTTGGAAGTCACGGACTTGTTGGGTTCGACTGAACCTAGTTCTTGGATGGTCTCGATGTCTGAAGATGTAATGAGGAAATGGTTGAGTTATTGTTTCCTCTTGTCATGGTTGTTTATACTCATGTGAGACTCGTGACTGCTGGTGTCGTCACTTGTGGTGACTGGTGCCGTCACTTGGTACACTTGGTACCGTCATTTGGTGTTGCCGTGGCTGAGACTGGGAATTCAGGCTATAGCGACACTTGTGAGAACTGTTGTAGCAGCTGGAACTAGGAGGAAGTTCCTTGCCATAATGATACTTTGAGTTGGGGCTAGAAGCCCTTGGAAGTTTGGAAACTTGTAAGGAAGTATTCGGTAGTAGTTGTGGATGCTCCAGCTTGGTGGGCTCCACTGGACCTGGGCGTGTCACGGTCGATGATGGTTCGATGGTGATGTAGTCGGTAGATCCTTTGGTTGGTGATGCCACTGCTCTTACACTCCTGTGAGTTGGCTGTGGCAGGACAAGTGTTGGTTCTGTCACTGCTCTTACACTCCTGTGAGCAGGCTGTGACACGACTTGTAGTTGTCCGTCATTGTATCTATAGTTGGCTTGATTTGATGTACTCACGTACTTCTGTTGTTGGTGTGAGACTAGGTTGGTTGCAATCTCTGTACAGTAGTTGCAGTGGAGCTGAGGTGTGCACCCTCTTGTTGTTTCTATGGATCAGGTTCCCGCTTGTGGGTCAAACTCTGAATGCTCCAGCCATCCTGTGGCTTGGTTCCTTGTCTTGTGAACTCTTGAGTTGCTTGTAGTTAGCTACTCGGTTCAACGTTCACTGTCGTTCTGCTGTTGTTGCAGTTGCCGTTATTGTAGATGCAATTCGAATTTGGTTTGTTCGATTCATTGTAATCGGTTTGGTAGTGGTAGATGCCGTTATTGGCTGTTGTTTTCATCGATGCTGGCTGTTGATGTAGCCATTGATGGTTGTTGGCCGTGTAGTTTTGGCCATTGATAGTTACGGCATTGCCTATAAAGGCGGATGTTATGATGATTTTGTTTGTAGGCTTGTAGGTTTTGGGTACCACCACACTCCTGTGCACTTGCTGTGATCAAATAGCAAGGGCATAGACTTGTAATGGTATCTGTTGTTGCCTGGAGGCTGTTGTTGCCTCAGGTTTGCCTGTTTCAGAAGGAGGAAGTGCTGTGGATTAGTTGCACAATACACATTCCAAAAATTGGTAGTAGGAGGTGCTGTGGCTTGGATGCCACAACACACACTCCATGAAAGGGGAGTAGGAGGTGCTGAGTGTAGACTCAATACACACTCCAAAGAAATTATTTGATGCTGGTGGAAGCACTCCTGTGCTTCCTGTAGCTTGCAAGCTTGAAGCTAGCGCTAGCTATTACCGGGAGCTAGCACTGTGCATGCTCGGGTACAGGTACCGGTGCATGGCTGCTTGCTTGGATCTTCCACGGAAAATCCTCTTGTTCCGTACGGAGAGATCTTGAGCTTGCTCGGTACACTCCTGGAAAGATATCACGGAAGATACCTTTTTGGTTGTGACGTTCAGCGGCTTGTGGCTGTCGTTCTTAGAACAGCTTCTTGTTGTTCGTTGGCGTTCCGTGCCTTGACAGGCTGTCAGGTTTCCTCACAAAAAGCAAAGATTTGCTTTCTGCTGTCGGCACTCTTCTTCTGCCGACAGTGGTACTGCCGACACTGTTGATCGGCAACAGACACAATGGCACTCTGTTGTTGTCGGTATCGTCGACAATGGCGCTATTGCCGTTCGGCAGCGACAATGGCCTCGTGCAAATAGCAGTAGCAGTACCTGCCAATGCAATTGGATGTCGGCCTGTTCTTGTTGTCGCCGTAGCGTCGTTTGATCCCTTGATCGCTGACTGGGTGGCTTCTGCTGCCGACACTTTTGTTGTCGACCCTGTTGTCAGCCGACACAATGGCGCTGTTGCCGCTATTTTCTTGTTGTTGTTCATCAATAGTAGGAACAAACTCTTGTTGCTGTCACTGTTGCAACTGGCTAGTAGCAGCGAGTGCTCGCTGATCTTGTTCTTGTTCTTGTTGTTGACGCTGTCGTCGTGTTTCTTGTTGTTCTTAGTAGCAGTAGCTGCGGCGGTTGTCGCTCGTGTTGTTCTCCGTAGCGGTAGCGACCGGCTAGTAGTAGTAGTAGCAGTCGTTCTTGTTGGTAGCAGCCGTCGTGTCGGCCGACTGCTTGGATCACTGTACTGCCGATGGATGCAACTCGCTCTGAGGTCGATTCGAGTGCTTGCACTCTTGAGGGCCTGTCAGTGACAGTATTATAGCCCACTTCTGTGTATGGCAGTCCTTCCGTAGGACCTGTCGTTGTCGAGTAATCGGCCTGGTAATTTGGCTTGTTTCGTGCCGCAAAAAGGTTTGCACCTCTTCTTTATCGGCACTGTTTCAATGGCTTGATAGTGAGGCTGGAGGAACTCCCACGGAAGTACCTCTGTGGTTCCTGTTGGAACTTGTTATCTCGTTCCTCTTCCGTGGTAACACCTCTTGTGTCACTCCTGTTGGCTTGCACGGTTTGTCGCCGTAGTAGCCTTGCTGTGCTCCGTACAGTAGCCTCTGCTCCGTACGGTAGCTAGCTAGCTTTCACTGTTGGCGGCGACCGTAGGTGCCTCCTGTAGTTGTTTCTTGTAGGTCGATTGCTGTTTCCGCAGCATCAATCTTGATCCTTGTTCCGTTCGCTCACTCCTGTGAGCTCGCTTCTGGCTCACTCCTGTGAGCAGGACGTTCTTGCTCCGGAGCTCACTCCTGGTAGCTTCGTCTTTCCCGACTCGAAATGCTTCAACTCGTTTGGTCCTAACTCATTTGTTGGATTCGCTTCGTTCAAGCATAGAAGTAGTTAGTAATGTTCTTTTGATTGGTACAATACGTTCTGGCTGATTCGATTTGGTCGTCTCGTGATGGACTGATGATCGCTCTGGTGTAGTCAACGTAGTAGAGTAGGTCACGGTTTCGTGATGCGGAAGATTTCCTGCTAGACTGTTGGGATGGCTCTCTCAGTGAGGCCAGAGCCCTTTCTGTCTGAACCTTGACTCGACTCTGTTGAACTGTTTACCTTATAGCATGAACTCAATGGTTGATGTCGATATCACCATGGTCGAGATCTCGAGTTCGAGATCTTCTTGGAAATAGTGTTGGTTTCTAGTAACACTCTAGCTTAGTAAAGGTAAAATACTGTTTTACTGTTAAGCTATTTCCAAGAAGTGATCTTTCTCCATGTTTTCTGGGATTGATTCAACTTCAAAGGATATAGTGAAGGGGGTGACCATATAGATCAGTTAAACTCCCCATGTATGTAACTAGAGAATAGATATAGATATCCCCTATCAACTAGATTGGGATAAACGACTAATTTGTATTGAGGTGTCTGTAATACAACCTCCAACAACAGGCACAAACGGCAGCCGCACCAAGCGCAGAAGCTCCTTGGTATCGTCGAACGATGTTTCTGATTGATCTGCCCAAGAGATCAGTATCTTTAGAATTTCGTCCTCCTCAGCATTCAAGTGGTTGGATCGCAACATGGCTTCGATGTGAGATCGTTCCAGCCGTGCCAGTGCATCTCCGTAGGGAAGAATAAGACCTTTAACGTTCTGACATAGATACTTGTGGCATCCCAAGGACAGTCGCTTTGCTCTGTGTTCGTCGGCAAACGTATACATTTGGGCTATGTTCTCAAATTTCAGCTTTGCCACCAGGGACTCTTCAAACCGAAGAGAGAAAGAAGTCATGCCCAAGTAAGTGGCGCCATCCACCAACTCTAGCAGGTTTTCCAGGGACGTTCCATGCAGACTCCGCCCATAGCAGTAAGACAACAACGATCGCATTGTTTCTTCGGTGAAATGAGACGAGTCAAGACGGAGAATAATGCGCTCAACCTTTGCCTGCTCGGCCTTGTTGTCAGAAGTGGAGGCTTTATCCACCAAATCTGTATCAAAAGACCACCCATCATGCGTCAGCAAGGATCGAAAATATTCCGAGTGGGCACAAAGGAGGGATTTGTGGGCTTCCAGGGACCACTCAACTTCAGCTTGTGGGCTGGCCCCATGACTGGCAAGGATTTTGACATCAGGAGCCATCAATAATTGCTGCGGGCCACCAACACCCGGGGCGACGGGGACATTCTCAGGTTTAGCCGCGCCTGGAACGGCAAGGGGCTTGGCTAGTGGCTTGGCTGGTGGCTTGGCTGGTGGCTTTTGGTCAAAAAGCGTCTTATTCAATTCCCACATCCTCTTGTGGGATCCTGTCTTATGATAGAGAGCAACTTCGCGCAATACGTCTCGTACGCGTCCCGCGTGACAAACATCCGCCAACACACCTCTCGTATAGGCTTCGGTGGCTAACTCTGACAAGCGCCAGTACTTTTTCTGTTGGAAAAGCTCTATCACCATAGCTCTCAACAACGGATCAATTCTTCTCGGTTGTGGCGCCGTGGCGCACTGGCCGCCACTGGGATTGGAGGAGATGTATGGTTTCCAGCGCCTATCCAGTTGAGCCAGGTCGTTCACCACCACTCCCATGTCCCTGAGGCCAGAAGAAATACCGTAGCAAGCGGCAACTTCCTCACGCAGTTTCTCTTCGTCGCCTTCTCGAAACGTGCCACTACTCAGCATGACTTCATCAGGGGCTTGTTCCTTCTTCTTGACAATCTTGGTAGTAGAATTCAAGAGTGGCTCAAATCGTCGCGCTTCCAATATGCAGCGATGGGCGCCAACGCCGCATGAAGCTGCACTACCAGGGAGGCGCAAGATGACATCACAGGCGATTTGTTCCTCGTAAAGTCTTTTCAGATCGTTCATGTAGGAATCACTCCAACTTCCTGGATCCCGGTCTGCCACATCTGCGTCCAAAGTTGATAAACCATCGAGGCATTTCTGGAGCGACCGATTGGACCAAGACCGCATCAGACGAGCGGTGGACGCCATCGTCGCTTGTGGCGCCGTGGTGTTGCTACGATCCATATCTCCACCCTGTATCAAGGGGGCTGTCGAGATGTGTGCTGCCGCACGGGTTTGTGAGACGTCCCTTCGATTGTAATATATTGGAGAACGCCTCCTTGGTTTGTGGGTGGCAACCGTGCCGCCGATACAGCGTAGTATAGTGGTGGTTGAGAAGCCCATGATCGGGTCCTCAGACGTGGATACATGTATGACATACCGGTACCGGTACGGTACTGGCCGATCAAACAGAGCTGCTGTGCGTCCACCCAGAAAAGTCGTGGCCAATTTCGGCCACCCTCATTTTTTGCAGGCTTTGCTGAGTTGGGCCTTCGAAAGAACAAAATTGGTTGAGCTCACGAGCAATATGGTAAGTAGTGAAGCGATACAATTCCTGCCGTCTGCATTTCTGTCAGTGTGTTTTCTCACTTCTCAAATTTTCAGAGGACTCTCTCATTCCAATACACTGTGCCTCAGCAAGCTAGCTGCAATCCAATCATCACCAATCCAGAACAGAGGAGCCAACAATGACATCCCATGCACAAGAACCGCTCGATGTAGAGATGCAACAACAGCAACAACAACAAGGACACGACTTTGTGGTTGTCAAGAAGGATGATCGGTCCGCTTCCAAGGAGCAAAAGAAAAAGTCGTGGCGCAAACCAGATGTCTTGACCAGCGACTATGTTCTGGTGACGACTGCCAATACCACCGAACAAGCTGCGGTCATGTCGTCGTTCGAGAGATTTGGATCACATCTGTTGCTCTGGCTCGCCATTGCCACCAGTCTCTGGGGAGCCATCTTTGTCTTGACACTGAGCACGGCCTTGCAGAGCCGCAAAACGTTTGATGCCACGTTGCTCATTTGCATCCCCTTTCTGATTGTGTGGAGTTGCGCCTGTATGTGGTCGGCCTACAAGAATCGTGAGCGTCGAAAGGCATTGATGTTCAGCTTTTTGCCGGTAGTATGCCTCGTGGGTATCCTGCTTTGGTGGTATGTCATCCCGTGAATTCAACTTTTTACCAGAAAGAAGGAAGTTCGGAGTTATACAGTGTGGATGCTTACTTGATGGAAGGTAGACTACGGTGGGCTTGGCCTACCCGTTTGGAAGGCTTGATTCTGCTTGGCAACCGTAAATATCATATCAGGTTGTAGATGTAAAATAATAGGGAGTGACAGGATTTTGATCTTGGAGGCTTGCTGGCTGTTTCCATCTTCAAAACTAGGCCAACCTGAGCCCGATTCACTCATGTAGGTACTAGTATCCCTTTGGCCTGTAACTTGGGCCACTCTACTAGTAGCTAGCCATCCTGCTACCTACGTCTATGGGGCCAAACCGACAGCTGACTACAGCCCCCCGGTAAAGGTGCCTTGTGCATGCCGACTTGGGCTTGCTTTTCAGCCGGGACTATATTGTTTACTTTGTCACTAATAAGACGTCACTTGATCTGCAAGGCGAAGACCAATCAAAGATCCACTTCGCATCCTGTTGTCACTTTTACAGCTCGAAGCATTCCCACAACCAAGCAAAAAGACCAAAGACCTTTCCCAGAGAGTGACAGTCTACCACACGGCAACAGCATGATGAAGGTCTTTGCCCTTACACTCCTCGGCCTTTTGGCCAACGCAGCGACCGCAATTGAGCTCACTGCCGATAACTATGACTTCGAATCAGGTATGTCTGTGAACTTGAAAGGTTTGCTTGACGCCAATCCACGCCGATGTCTCACCTTTTCTTTTCCTGCTGATGTGACCTTCGAAAGAGGGAAAGACTGTCCTCATCAAATTCTTTGCTCCATGGTACGTTATGGCTTGGCTTGGCTACCCATTTTTCCTCGGTTCCGTTGCATGATTTCTGATCTCTTCTTTCTTTCGTTGATTCATTCATCCCTACTGTATGGTACGGTATGTGATAGGTGCGCCCATTGTAAGAAAATGAAACCAGATTGGGACAAGCTCATGGCAGAATTTGAAGACAGCAAAACCCAACTGGTGGCAGAAGTGGACTGTACCAGCGACGGAGGCAAGCCGCTCTGCGAAGCCAACAATATTCGTGGATACCCCACGCTCAAATGGGGAGATCCGGCGGAGTTGGAAGACTACTCGGGGGGACGTGATTTGGAAACCCTCAAAACCTTTGCGCAAGAGAACCTAAAGCCATTGTGTTCTCCCACGCACATGGAATTGTGCGATAAGGATCATCAGACGGAAATCAAAAAGTACCTCGGTATGGGTGCCAAGAAATTGCAAAAGCAAATTGATGCCAAACAAAAAGAAGTGTCCAAAGTAGAAGCCGATTTCAAAAAGCAAACCGAGCAGTTGCAAAAACAGTACAAAGATGCCACGGCCAAGAAGGATGAAAAAATTGCCAAGATCAAGAGAGATGGATTGTCGCTCATGGAAAAGTGCATGATAAGTTTGAAGAAAAAGGTGCACGATGAGCTCTAGGAGTTGGACAGTCACTCAAACAAGCCTCAATCAGTGGAAGGATCAGTTAATATGCTGTGCAAATAGCAGACGAAGAAATGGTGCTCAGCCACTTTCGTGTAGGTGACATCGAATGAATGAATCTAGTAACGGCGATTTGCGTTGATTAGCAAACAACTTTTGAGGTCAAGACAACAATGCACAATGACGTTGCTTCCGATATCAGTTGGTTTGGATTTCACTGTTTCTGCAGGGATTGGCATTCCTGCAACGGTGTGGGTAAAAATTTTGGAAATGCTAGCTAGTTTCATGGGAGATGTCAATGGATGTGGAACGACCTATGGAGAAGGCGATTCGGCTGGCTTCGTACGCTGTAGTCTTCACTCTTTCGCCTTGGCTGATACGTCGCGTGTCAAAGCAAAACTTCTGACTTTCTACCGTGACAAATCAGATTCCAAGACTCCCGCCAAGTGCTGTTGTCGAGATATTGTCATGCTTGGGAACCTTGCAGTTCTTCAATGGGTCCGGCAAAAGGAGTATCCATGGATTTCATGGACATGCGCATATGCTGCTGGAGGTGGGTCTTTGGATTTCTAGAGTGGGCTCATGAGAATGGATGTCCATGGAATGCATCTACATGCAAGCCTGCTGCTAGAAATGGCCATTTGGATGTTCTGAAGTGGGCTCGTGCCAGTGTATTTCCATGGGACAAAAGGACATGCTTGGAAGCTGCCAGCAGTGGGCACCTTAGCATCCTGAAGTGGGCTGGTGAGAATGGTTGCACATTTGATGTATTCGCTTGCTCAAGTGCAGCAGTTAGTACGCCTAAAGGTGGGAACTCGGCAGTTTTGAAATGCGCACGTGAAAAATGGATGCCAGTAGACTTGGTGGACATGCACTTATCCTGCTGAATCTGGCCATTGGAAACTCTGAAGTGGGCGCATGAGAATGGCCGCCCATGGTATGCCGGACAAGTTGTGAAGAAGCAGCCAGTAGTGGTCATTCAGAAACTCTGAAATGAGAATGGAGGTCCTTGTGATGAAGGCACATGTGAAAGTGCTGCAAGAGAGGGACATCTGAAAGTTGTGAAAGTGGGCACATGAAAACGAATGTCCATGGAATAGTCGGACATGCCATCGAACAGCCAGAAATGGACGCATGGCGATGCTAGCTACAGTGGGCCCATGAGAATGGATGTCCATGGGATGAATATACACGCAGCAGCTGCCGAAGGTGCCCATTTTGCAACTTTTTTGAAGTGGCTACAGGAGTATGGCTGTTCATTGGAATAGTCCAACAATGGTGATGGGGAAACTTCGAAGTGGGCTCGTGATAGTGACAACGGATGCCCAGAAGCGTTTGAAGGAGGAGGTGGTGACCGTGGAGATTATTCTATTTATTGCAGCAAGCCAGATCCAAAATGTTTTGTTGTGGCAACTAATAAAGTGCCTGTTCCGTTGTTGGTTTTCTCCTCAAAGTTTGGACTCTTGCTCCGTTTCTGCCAGAGACTGCTTCGTTGTTGTCCAGTAAAGTCTCAACCACTCTTGCAATGAGGATCGGACTCCTGATAAATTGAGACACTGACGGCATAGCGAGGTTCTGTCACTGGGATGGGACGGGTTGCTTCCATGACTAACTCTTCTGGTATTTGCTTCCTCAATCACTGCAAAAGACCTTCCTGTGTGCTGGCTCTGAAGTAGTTTGGCACCATGAAAGAGCGTCCAACTAGCTAGTAGATAGATTGGTTCTTTGCATTGAAAACATACGGTCTCATTTACGGTGTAGGGAGAGCCTCTAAGCTCGTTTGAACCTTTTGGGCCTGATCTTCCAGCTCCGCAAGCTCCTTTTTCGCCTTGTCGACAACGGCTTCAGGCGCTTTGTCTACGAAACCCTTCGACTTCAGGCGTCCAGCTAGCTTTTGAATCTCTTTCTGGAGCTTCTCGTTTTGCTTTTGCAGTCTGGCTCTCTCCTTTTCAGGGTCAATAAGACCTGAAAGAGGCAAGAAAGCCTCAACGCCGTCTTGTACAACGAGCTGTACGGAATCAACAGCGGCGGCCTTGGCTTCCTCAGAACCTGGCTCACAAAACACCACCCCCGATGCTTCCAGTTTAGCAAGTGCTACAAGTGAATTGACTTCTTTCTCGACTTCTTCCCGTATGGATTTCTCAGCAACAATCACGGCACTGATTCGTTTTCCAGGCTCTACGTTGTATTCTGCTCTTGCATTCCGGATGCTTCTTGTCAGTGCCTGGAAGGACTCGAATTTACTTACTGCATCGTCAGATGTCACGAGAGGCGATTCATCGTCCAACTGGGGCCAATCAGAGAGCATAAGAGAATGAGCCTTTTGGTCAGCGGTGGCATCTGCTCTTGGCAAATGATGCCACAGCTGTTCCGTCACGAATGGCATATAAGGGTGCAGTAGCCGGAGACTCGTGTCCAAAATGTATACCAAAACCTTTCGGGCTAGCTTGGCATCTTCCTCATTGGTTCCTCCCAAACCTTCGTAGAGGCGTGTTTTTGAAATCTCAATGTACCAATCAGCGTATTGATCCCACAAGAACGAGTAGACGAGGCTACCTGCAGCACCGAGGTTGTAGTTTTCAATCTGTTCTGTGACACTTGCAACCAACGCATGGCACTTGGAAATAATGTATCGCTCTGGTAGGGGCATGGCTTCCAATTCTTCCTTTGTGATAGGACCCTTCACGCTCAGTTCTTTTCTTTCTTCTTCCGAGATGTCTTTGAGGGCATTACCAGTAACGAACTTGCAGCAGTTCCAAAGTTTGTTAGCAAAGTTGCGATTGGCCTCAATCTTCTCCATATTCAAAGGAATGTCCTGGTCGAGGAAAACAAAAGCAATTATATCAGAAAGATGTCCTCGGCGTCAGACGCGACAGCTAGTTCGCCTCCGTTCGATTTCGTACCTGCCCTGGGGTAACACCCGTAACAAGAGAATAGCGCAGACTGTCGGCCCCGTACTCTGCTACGGTATCAAGAGGATCAATGACGTTTCCCTTGGTCTTCGACATTTTGGTTCCATCAACAGCTCGAACGAGACCGTGCAAATAAATGACGCTGAAAGGGCTCTTGCCAGTGAGTTCAATGCCCATCATCACCATCCGAGCGACCCAAAAGAACAAAATATCGTAGCCCGTTTCGAGGCAAGTACCAGGGTAGAAACGAGCAAGATCAGAATCCTCGTCTCCCTCTGACTGAGGCCAGCCCACAGTTGCAAACGGCCACAAACCAGAGCTGAACCACGTGTCCAGCACATCTTCCTCCTGACGCAAGACAACATCCGACGAATGTCCTTGTTCGGTGGCTTTCTCCCTGGCTTCCTTTTCATTTCGGGCAACAATGTATTCCTCCTCTCCCGTCTCACCCACGTACCAGACAGGAATTCTGTGACCCCACCACAACTGTCTGGAGACGCACCAGTCATGAATATCCGTCAACCAATTATTCCACGTCTTGTCGAATCGCTGCGGGACAATTTGGATATCTCCATCTTGGACAGCCTTGAGGGCTTTGGCTCCCATCCCCTCTGTCTTGACAAACCATTGACTACTCACCAACGGTTCAATCACTTCACCACCGCGCTGGGACCTGGGGACACGTTGCGTGTGTGGTTCGGCCTTGATGACAAGGCCTTCGGCTTCCATATCCTCCCAGAGTTTGGCTCTGGCAACGAACCGGTCGAGTCCATCGTATGCTTCTCCGGCATTGGCATTCAGGGATCCATCTTTGTTCATAATGTTGATGACTGGTAAATTGTATTTGTTTCCAATGGCGTAATCGTTGGGATCATGACCAGGTGTAATCTTGAGCGCCCCGGTTCCAAACTCTCTATCGACATATTCATCGGCAATAATGGGAATGGTGCGACCACCAGCCATGGGTACCACTGCCTGTTTTCCAAGGAGATGTTTGTAGCGATCATCCTCCGGGTGGACACAAACAGCCGTGTCTCCAAAGATAGTCTCGGGACGAGTCGTAGCCACCGGGAGGAACTCTTGATAGATAGAGAGACGCACATTGTGAGTTTCACCCGGCACAACAAAAATCCAATTCCAATGGATACCATTGCTTCCTGTCTTTTCACGCACCTTCACTACCATCCACCATGTACTTGAAGTAGTATAGTTTCCCTTCCTCTTCGGAATACTCCACTTCCAGATCACTGACGGCCGTCTTTAACAAGGGCGCCCAATTGACCATGTACTCTCCTCGATAGACCAGTCCCTTTTCGTGCAATCGGACAAAGGCTTCGGAAACGGCATCACTGAGGTCACTGTCCATGGTGAATCGTTCTCGACTCCAATCGGCCGAAGCCCCGAGGGATCGCAACTGCCGGGTAATGTGTCCACCCTGTTCTTCCTTGTACATCCATACCCGTCGCAAGAATTCCTCTCGACCGACATCTTCGCGACTGGTTCCTTCGGCAATCAATTGTTTTTCCACCTGCAGTTGTGTGGCGATTCCAGCGTGGTCCGTGCCTGGACAAAAGAAACGAAAAAGAAGTACATCAAGGCAACAACTCATCATTTAGTTGGTTTTCAACACAACACAAAACACCATGCGCACTTTGTTTCTTTCTTTATTTACCTGGCAACCAGAGCACGGGACGACCTCTCATGCGATGAAATCGCGCCAATACATCTTGGAGGGCGACAAAAATGGCATGTCCCATGTGCAATCGTCCCGTGACATTGGGAGGTGGCATGGGTAGCACATAGGGTTGTTTTTTATTGCTCTTTTTCGCTTGTTTGGCATCGGGTTGAAAACATCCGGCCCCTTCCCACCATTGGTAGATTTCGGTTTCAAAGGATGTCGGATCGTAACTTCCCAACAATCCGGCTTCTTGGTTGGTGACATCGTAATTATTGCTCTTTGTGGCATCGGGAGACGTGGTGACGGCCAATGTGGATGTTCGACGACGACTACACAAGGATCGAGGCTTGAAAGCCGAAGACGAGACGACGGTTCGTTGGGCCGTGGCGCGCAAAAAGGCACTTTTGGTGGAAAAAGCCGTGGTGACCGAGGAGGACGACGCCAGGCAGAGCCACGCCATGGTGGCCAAATTGGTTTTCTTCTTCTTGTGGTGATGGTTGTTCCTACTGCCGACACTTGCCGCGTTGCGAGACTGGAGCTGACTGGGCATGTTGTGGTCGGATCTTGTGCTTGCTTGGATCCAAAAAGCAAGAAGTAAGCAAGTTTCTCGGGGGTATCTACCCGTATCTTGTCAACTCCAGCAGAATGAGACTTTTAGCTTGGAATCAGCTTGCACGAGAAGCCAACAACAGAGATAATATCTTCCTCTATGATGTGCTGCTAATCCAGTCTCCTCCCACCTCATTCAGCTTTCTGAGGATCAAATATATGAAGAAACTTAATGATGGCCGCTGACTACGATGAGAGATGATGCCACTTGTTTGGTTGCGACTGACGTCAGAAGCTTTTGTCCCAACGATTTCAATCAAAGGAGGAAGTGTGTGACCTTTTTTCTTCCCTCCAATAACGCGAGGTGGACAACCTACAGGCATGCGGGGGTCACAATCTGAGGGTGGCCACCACGCCTTGGCAAAAATTTCGAACGGCCAGAAACAGTCACAGTGGCGGCAATTTGAGATTGAAGGTCTAGTCTTGGTGTCTTCATCAGCTTGTCATCAGTAGCATCGCGACGAGACTCCTCGAACTTTAGTATTTCTAAAGAACTCTACTAATCCAGAGTCGAGACAAGGACAAGTTTAATATTCAGTGGAAGCTATCATAGAACGGAGGTAAGTAGTGTGGTGATGTTTGGCTCATTATGCCTTAGTTTTGGTGGAGGTATACCGACAAAAACCTGAAAGCCAAGATTTTGTCCGGTAGCGTCCAGTAGCACAAAAACCGACTCATTCATCTTCCCCACAAAAATCTTATTTTCGACTTACCACACACACATACATACACATATAGAAAGAAGAAAAGAGAGAGAAGATAGAGGAGCCACAATGCTGCTCCGTCGAATCTTTCGATCCGTCAAGAAGCGCATGAAGAAGGTGGTGAAGAAGCCCAAGGAGGCAGCAGTGTCCACTACTACTACCACATGTACTTCTTCTACGACCACCACCACCAGTAGTAGTAGTGTTACCACCCACAAGGCATCCTCTCATCCAAAGAGAACTTCTGTAGCTCCACTTCCCTCTTCCTCTTCTCCTTCCTCTTCCAATAACAATGTCTTTCGAAGCCACAGCGATCTCCTCCTACTCAAAAAAAGCAACGGCTCGGCCTTCCATCCTCCTTCTTCTGCTAAAACACGTTCTGCGGGAGCCTTTCCCACTACTCCAAGCAACACCAATGCTCGTCCACTTCCTCCTCTTTCTTCCGCAAAGCCCAACAAGTATGCTGCCAGTTCTTCCACCTCCTCCTTTTATCAGTCTCCTTCTTCCGCCTTTTCTTCCGTATTGGCACCACCTCCCACTGATACCAAGCCTTACCACAAGATTAACCACAACCACAGCTACAGTACAGCTACCACTGCTACTACCACTAGTACTACTACTGATTCTATCCACCACCCAAGAAAACCTCGCAAACAAGTGTGTTTTGGCTACATTATGGAACACCGGTACGTCAAGCCACCCACACGGACCAAGGCACAACGCAAGGCACTCTGGTACTCCTCCAAAGAAATCAAGGCCATGCGGGTCGAGATTTGCGTGCAGCGAAAGAAACAAAAGAAACACCTTGTCAATAAGGAAGAAAAGGCCAAACACGAACGGCGACGTGATTTTGTGCGGTCCTTTCTCTACTTTTGCAATGACCTGGGGGTAAGTGATCCAAGGGCATTGGCCGTGTTCGCGGCCACCAACAGTCTGAATGATCGACAACGTGCCCTTGTATTGGCGCGAAGCGATGCCCACGATGCCTGTCGCATCTATCACGATTTCATCATGTCACCCGACGGAGCGGAAGCTGCAGCGGCACGGTTCTTTTTTGGACAGCCATCTCCATCGTCTCAGCGCTCTCTCGTGTCACCGTCCAATCTACACCAGAGCAAACAAGGTGTCAGCATAGCTCCTCCTCGTCGGGAACGACTGCCACCCAAGTCGTTGGAGTCACGGCATTTGCAGACACGGCCTTCGGTGGTGACAGCCCATAAGGTGCTCACATTTCAGTGTGCCTTTTTGTGAGTTACCACACAACACCATGAAACAGTACACACCACAAGCACGCACAATGAGAAGAGAACATGCACACAGTTCTGACCATACACACACAGAAAGAGAAAACGAGAAACATACATACGCAAACACTGCACACAAACAAACAAACAATCAATCCCAATGAATCAATCATGCCGCACTTGAACTGTTGCATGCATCGAAAAGGGATCTTGATCATAATGAAGAATCACAAACACGGGGACCTGAACACTGCCTGATTGCAGGAATATCTTGATGCTAGCTAGCACTTGTTGCAGGGTTTGGAACCTAAACAAGGAGTAAAACACAGAACGAGAAGCATAGAATAATGCAGGTGAACCACGTCCGATTCATAGCTGTAAATGTAATGTAAAAGGCGATTAACACGGCTACCCATGTGCATTCGCAAGCTGCACCAACCATGAATGTTCAATGCATCAACATGTGTTCTTCGGCAAAGGCATACCAATCGCCAGCTTTGGCTGGCGAGCCATCTGACTTTGCAACATCAACACCATTGCTGTCCTTGTGTGTTATGCCTCCTTGCGCACTGCAATAATCGTAGATGCGTTCATCGTACTCCACAAAATGAATGATCTCCGCCTCGAAAAACTCATCCAGATTCAACAAGAGTTCCATCAGTTTCTCGTCACCCATCTTTGGATGGAATCCAAGGGCACGTGCACGAGCAGCCAAAGGAGGCTTCTTGGCACGTATTTCATCTTCTGTAGGTTGTCGCTTCTCTATCAGGTATTCAGGAGCTGCTGGGCTAGGATCATTCCTCAACTCGTTTTTCAGTCTGCGATTCCACGAATCCAATGCCCGCCTGCCATACCCATTTTCTGCTTTGGCCGATTCCAAGAAATCCGTGCCAACCTGCTTCTTATTGGCCTCTGGGCAATTCAATGCTGATTCCCAGAAAGTGCTACCTTCATCTGAAGCTTTGTAGTTTCCAACATACTCCCATCCTAAAAGCTTACCCTCGCCCTTGTGGTTCCTGTGTGTTCGAGTTCGTTTCACAAAGAGTGGAAATGAGCGACCCATTGCCCGAGAGTATTCGGGGACGCAGTTGATTGATGCCGAAGGTTGGCTAGCGTATTGTGGGGCATTGGGATTGTGCATCATGTTGGCTGCCACAAACTCAAAGTCTTTCATAGACTCTGGTTCTTCTTGGTCCTGCAAGGTGGAGAGGTGCTTTGGAATAGGATATCCAGCTCTTAGGTTGTGGTCATTATCCCAAATATTACGGTTCCACAATGCAGGTTGCCCCCAGGTATTCTGCACGCTACCCCCCAGCCGAGCAATTCCACCATGTTGACGTTTCAGCAAGAATCGTTCGGCATGTCCATTGTAGAATTCCTGCCTTCTTTTCTTCAGTTTTTCTTGCTTGATTTCGACGGGAAGTTCTGCGTCATTGCCAAGATCAGCGGGGTCATTGTCCTCCGCGCCATTGGCAACATTGCTTCCGACAACAGCTGTGTGATCTGTGGCGTCTCCTTGGTGGGACCTGGAACGGGACTTCTTTGTTTGTGACTGTTCTTCTTCTTCTTCCTCTTCTTCTTCCTCCTCCTCCTTGGGTGCTGTGCGTTCAGCACACTTGTGATTTTGCATGGAGTTGCTATCAGGTGTCTTCACTATGCGACCATAACGTGTTCTGACCACTCCAGTACTGGCCGCTTCCGACTTTCTGGAAGCCAGAGGAGTCACCACTGCTGCCTTGGGCTTCACATCCTCTTCTTCCGACTCGGAATCGGAATCCAGCACAATAGGATTCTGCACGTTTCCTGCTTGCAGAACACCACTTTCTGTGTCCTTCGAAACCGTGGGCTCTGGGAGACAGGAATCCTGGCTCTTGACCACAGCAGGGCTCCGATCCGATGCATCCACGACAGCCTCACGTTCCTTGTCTCCCAAGGTTGGCTCTGTATCCGTTCTGCTTTGCACATTGCTGCTTCGGACGGTTGCTGCCTCGGGTACACTGGTCACCAAGGTAGGTTGATCCGCTCCATTGGCGCGAACATTTGGCTCTGCATCTTCCATCCTTGATTCTGATGTCGCCTCCTTGTGCGTTTCCGCATCATCATTTGCAGGGTTGAGCTGGCTTTCATCATCGTTTACCAAGGCTGTTGTAGAAGTAGATTCAGTCTCATTGATGGCTTTCTTATTTGGCTCAGAAACCTCATTGGTATTATGTCTTTGACCACTTTTCACCGCTTCTGGCTCACTACCATCGTGACATGACGACGTGGCTGGTTCTACTATGGTGGGTTCCACTCTGTTTTTCTCTACAGAAGCCTCGGCGTCCATGGGAGGATCAGGGTTTGGCTCACATTCACCGGAAGCTGATACCATGGTCCACTCAGAAGCCTCTGGCTGGTCGGCTTCCATGGCAGATCCAGAACAGCTTTGCTTTGAAATGTCCTCTCCATCTGGGTGTCTACTAGTCTCTTCCACTGGATTCGAATGTTCTGCCTTTTTCCTCTTACATTCTGTTACTTTTGCGGTGCCTTCCCCTCGACAAGGAGGTCTCTTTTTTGGTTCCAGTATCCGCTCGGATCTGGTTTGCGGTGAACTTGCCTCTTTGTTTTTCGTTTCATTGAATGTTGGCGTTTGGTCTGCTTCCTCGTCCCATTCTTCTGGTAAAACCTTGAGCTGTTGGAGGCATGTGCACAGGTACCGGTGTTCATTGATGGTACTGACGACAAAGGGCGCCCCGTTCCGGTAATGTTGAAAGACGTAATTGTTTGGAAGTCGGAAGCGTTGCCCCACGAGTTGTTGTGGAATGATTTGGTTTCTCAAATCCGCAAGAGTGGCTCCTGTTCCCACCCAAACAGTGGTCCAAGTGGTCTTGTCTCGGCTCGAGTATATCTCCAACTCTACTTCTTTCTCTTCTGATGTCATGGTGGAGGATAGTTGCTAAAGAACAACCCTTCAACAGAAGAAGTGTGGAGGCTTCTTGCTTTTTGCTTTCTTGCTTTCTTGGGCTTTTGGAAAGATACAAAAGATACGGTGGGTCATTTATTAGTACATGTACTTGTGCTACCGGTACTGGTACGTAGAACAGACCCACACAGGACAGGGGCAAAATCGCTGAGGGGGGTAATTACGTTCTACATATGTATGTGTATCCCAAAAGAGACCCCCCATGATGTGCAGCCGATTGAGTCGAGTCTCAGCAGTCCCGACAACACCAGCAGGAACACGTACGGTATCATACCGGTACACAGACTTTAGCAGACAGCAGCAAGTGACAGCAACAGCAACACCCACAAGCAACAATCGCAGCATCAACAACAGAAGAACCGTAGATAGCACGCAGATAATACAACAAGAAAGGGCACAATGGTCGATGAAACTGCCGACCACCTGTGGGCTAGTGCTGACAGTGAGGCGGTCAAAACGTCTCCGCAATTAACATCGACCGAAGCGACTCTCGAAGAAGAAGTGGACCCCGACAGCTGCGGTTTCATGACACTCTACCAAGGAATGCAAGTGTGGCACTTTATCGATATTGTTCTGGGAGTTGTGATTTTGATTTATGGTTCCATCATGGCTCAGTCCGTCTCTACAGTGGCCGTGGTTTTAATTATTGGCTCTGGAATTGTCTTGACGATTCGAGGTCTCTGCGGCACACTGTCACTCGGAACAGAAGACATTTGCCATCGTTGTGGCTTGTCCTTCTCGGCCGGTGCCTCTCCCATCATGGCATGCACGTGGTTCGTCTTGATGTTCATCAACTTGATTCTGCCGGGTCTCGTCCGAAAATACCTCCAAGAACATCACATGCTCTGGAAATTTCTACAAAATTGGGAAAATTCACACAAACTCACAGTTACACTACTCTTATTTGGAGTCTTTCTGTTGGAATGTGCGCGGTGGCAATTGGTGTTGAATTTGCAACGAAAAGTTCACAGTCTGGAAGCCATGGAGGACTCCAGAGCCAATGCCAGGGCGGCGCGGCGCAATCGAATGACAGATCGACCGTGGTGGTGTTCTTCCATCAACAACTCACCGACCGATCCCAACGATCCCTTGACGGATGCCTTGTTGCCCGTCACGGCCGAACGAAGCAAACCGCAACAACAACAATCTACTGGCTGGTACTTTTTGGGGAGACCCAAACGCACGCAGCAGCATCATGTCAGTCCAAATGTACGACAAGATGGCTCTGGTGATTTTGCGTCCATTCAAGACGATTGGGTCGGCCGTACCAATGAAGACCCATTCTGGTGGAGTCGAGAAGATGATAGTACTGTGCCATCCATGACATCCACGGAAGAAGTGTCGTGGGCCAAGGACAGTGGTAAAAAGTCACCGGCAAGAAGGTGATGATGGTAGCAGAATTGCATTGTAGTTCGTTTTTGTGTGCAAAATCGCCTTGTTGTTTCGGTTCAAAAAGTCCATGTCAATGATTTGATAAAGATGATAAGGCACTCTACAATGGAAGCGGTGTGTTGGATTCAATTGGAATCCAGGACACGAGGGTGCAAGCTGGTACCGGTAATAGTACATGCACCTGTACGTGGAGTCGAGTGACAGTCACAGAGTCCTCAGTCGTTTGGTATATCAGAATGATCGAACCACTGTAGAGACATTATCGCCGTACATGTTTACTCCCGTAAATAGGCTGAATCAGCTCTGTCATTCGACGAGTGGTGCTGTCAAGCTTATGCCGGTCATAACAACCAAGGAGGTGTCTGACCGAAAGGACAGAATAATAGAACACCAGCAAGTAAGTTTGCAACTTTTGTAACCGACTGGCCCTGGCACCTGAGATGGAATCACAACTGCCAGATAGTGGAATGGGTTCTTGTACTCTTCCGTAGAGGAAGAATGGAAGCTTTAAGCAGAACTGCAGCGCGAAAGAGGGTGGTCACGAAGTTCCGCGACTGAGGCAGCAACAAGCGACTGATGCACACGAGGAGCCCTTCACACAAAACACGAAGAACCACAGGACAAACCTCGGGCTCCCCGTAACCCGTCATAACTTCACAGTGCGTATCAAACTCTCTTCAGCTATGCCCTTGCCTCGGCTACCTCATCATATCAGCACTCAGCAGAACGTCCTTGGTGCACACCTTGAAGAAACCTCAAAGTCACGGTGGCACCATAAGAGATAAGAGACGACAACAGTCCTCTAAGCGTGGACTTCCATTCTCGGGTTCTTTTCTTTCTCTCCAAGCTCCAGGAACTCCTTGCTGCTAGCTCAGTGTTTTGAAACCGACGGGTGTTGGCATTTGCCCCTCGTCTGCTTCATCCCGTTCTTCCGGTTTGGTCTGTTGCTTTCCTCGTCCCATTCTGCTCCCGGTAAAACCTTGAGCTGTTGGAGGTCCGTACATGGGTACTGGTGTTCATTCACTGTACTGTACTCGTGACAAACGGTGACCTGTTCCGGCAGTGTTGAAAGATGTCATTGTTTAGCAGCCTCAAAACTTCCCCCCACAAGTTATTGTGGAATGATTTGGTTTGTCAAATCTGCCAGGGTGGCTCATGGTCCCACCCACACCTTGGTTCAAGGGGTTTTGGCTTGGATCGACTAGTTGCCAGATCTATTTCTTTCTCTTCCGACATCATGGTGGAGTCGAGTCTGGTTGCCCCAATGGTTGGTAGGCACTTTTGAAAAAATGGGAGCTCCAAAGATACCACTGTAACTTCTCCATCCAAAAAGATTCGATTCATCCTCGGAGTGAGAAAGCGATTGAAGATTCGATTCGATCATTCAGTCCCGTCATTTTTTGGCGATCCTTCCCATCGGCTTTTCGGAAGTTCTGAATGGCGGGTCATCCGATGGCACCTTCTTTCCGCGGACAGTACACAAGTGTAGAGAAGAGGGCTCATTCATTGTTGTTGTCACCTGGGACTTGCATAGTAAGCTCTTGCATGAATATTCAGTATCCAAGGATCCAAGCAAGTGCTGCTGTGCTTACAGGTTAAGCTAACGTGGTATCAGCCTTGGCGGAAAGAAAGAGTCAACTAACTAGAGCAAGGCAAGCCCCAAAGAGGAAGCATTAGCCCGAAAGATTACTCCAGAAGTAGTAGGATCTCTCTCCCGAGAAAAGAAGCACACATCATTTTTTCTGTCACACTTTTTCTTCAACACACAACACAAACACATACAATGATTCTGACGTATCCTACCAGTGTCTCTGTCACCGAGGTGAACATTGTCAAAGACAAGCCGTCGGAGAAGATGGGTCTATCCCTCAAGAACACACCCCGCGAATCCGGAATTGGCATTACCGGTTTGTCGCGCGAGGAGAGTTCCTTGCGAGGCACCGCCATTCGAGCGACGGGAGGACAAGTCCTGGTGGCCATTAATGGCAATCCCGACATTCCCGATGCCAAGACGGCTTCCAGTATGATTTCCAAGAGCACACGGCTCTCGCTGTTGGTGTGTGAACAGCACCACGATTTCGCCAACGCGAGCAAACAGGCATGTATCCAAGTGGTGGCGGCACCCTTTTGGAGACACAATCCCGGCATTAATTTTGCATCGACACGAGGACGAACCTTGGTGACTGTCTCCAAAATTTTCAAACGAGGACCGTTTGCGGAACACAAGTACATTTCCGTGGGAGACATTGTGTTGGCCGTCAATGGAATTCCCGTCTCCAAACCGGAAGATGCCGACAAGGCGTTGCGCCTGCCGCAAGCCGATTCCAGTGTCACGGTACTGCACACTATTGACATGAACTACTTTCGAGCGGCCGCCATGAATGCGGTCGATACTAGCAAAATTACCGGAACGGGGGCCACGCTGTCGTTCAAACCCGATCCTCACGACGCAACAAAGCAGCACCATGTCATGCACGTCAAACGAGTTGGCCACACGGACAAACACGTACGGATACGATACGATCCCGAGACGCAACACATGTACGATCCAGAGCCATTCACCAAACTCTGTCCGGAAGGTGACTATATAAGGACGGACTTTTCCAATCCCAAAGGTTAGATTCAATTCAGCTTGATCAGATGATTGACAGAGTCCATTTCTCACCGTTTGCTTTTTCCATTCTATTGTGTACTGACTGTAGTATTCTACCGCAACTGGTATTGTCTGGGAGCTCTCAAATTCATAAACATGTTCAACAAAATTGTGGATGAGAATCTGGATCCATTGGAGGATTCGGCCTGTGAATATTCCTGGAGAAATTCACCCAGCAATGCTATTGCCACTACGGCACCCATCTCCCCCAGTAGTTCCTCCAGTGTCCCCGAAGTGGAAGTCTACGTCCCGACCAACCACGATCTCAGTCTGCGTTCCTTGACGCGCACAAAGAGTCACGATGACGACGAACACGAAGATTATATTGCGTGTTGAAAAGGAACAAATGCATGAATAGCCCGACAACAATGCATCCATCATGCGGCAGACAAGCCACGCACATCAATCCACCAGCTGTAATACATACAGATGCCCCAATTTTACTCTCAAGTTTTTGTTGCATTTCACATTTTGAAGTACTCGACATTTCTACTAAAACACTTGATTAATAAAGTATTCCCTTCAATCTTTAAAAATGGACCCCTAAATCTGACCTAACTCTACCTTATACCTACGGGTACATTACGATTTATTTATCAGGTGCTGATTTTTTGGATCCCGTGGTGGACTTGTGTCAAATGCTGAGACACCGTTGGAAACTTCAAGGCCAGCGCCATTGCTGATTGTATGAATGCAGACTGCTGGGTCAGACAAGGCTCTGTCTGATCCAAGCTTGGTTGGGCGCAAGGTGGAGCCATTGAATGAAAAATATCCTCAGTATGTCCCGAAGTATATATGTCAGCAAAAACAAGACATGCCATGTTCGCTACTTTACATAAACCCCCAGAAACCAGGGGCGAGGTCAGGAAGGTAGCCAAGCTCTCCCGGGCAGAGCTTTGCAAAATCCTCCTGTTTCATGTCAGTAACACTGCAATTGATGATGCTGATGCAGGCGAAGAGGAAGAAGTGTAAGAAGAGGAAGATACAGGATCAGGACAGGAAGAGGAAGAGATGATTGCATAACGAATGATTGACAAAAACGACCGTGGGATCGTGGAGCCGCATCGTGGAGGCAGTGGGTTGTCCATAAGGGATAGGATTAAATTCTTGCAACCAGAAGCCTTCACAGCGCCGCGACGAAAACCTGGCTGAACCAGACCATGACGGCGAACAAAACCATTGTTACCAAAGCATCCTCGTTCCACTCCACACCACTCCTCGATTGTTGATTGGTTCTGTCTGACACTGTAAACTCAGTTCGTTAGTCAGCCTCTTGGTAGCTAGCTAGCAAGCCGATCCAACAAATAGATCAATCAAAAGCGCCATGGCGACTTCACCCAACGGCAACGGCAAACGCAACCTACTGGACAGTTTTGACGACGCCGCAGACTCCAAACAACAACATAAAAGTCCCAAAAAGAAGAAGCGATCCAAAGTGGAAGATGACATGTTTGCTCCCTCCCCCGCTACAGACCGAAAAGCCAGTTTGTCGAAATTTGTGCGTCGCATTCTAGATCCCAATCGCAAACCCACTGGATTGATTGAACCTCCTCAAGTGATTCCCTTGAATGATGAATTCCTCAAAGCCTTTGGAAAACGGGAAAAGGAAATGGATGCCGAAATTGGACGCACCATTGACATTGACAACGATCTAGCCGATGATGACAAGGAAGACGACAAGGATGCCAACGACACTAGCACGACAAAATCCAAAGAAGATTCCTCGAAACGAAAAATCAAAGTGACCAATCTCAAATACACCACTGCCGTACAGACACTGCGCGAAGAATGCATGAATTTTGGACCCGTCGTCGATGTTAATATGCTCATGGACGACAATGATCCGACCAAAAATACGGGACGCGCCTATGTGGTCTTTTCGACGGCGGCAGCCGCACAAGCGGCCGTGGATCAACAATTGGGAGGCGATTTGGACGGACGACCCATTCGCGTGTCGTTAGCGGAAGAACAAAAACGCACTCCGGGTAACGCCTTTACGGAAAAGCGCTATTGGCTCAAGGATATTTCCACCAAATGCTATCGATGTGGGAATATTGGTCACATGGAAGCTGAATGTCCCAATCCACAACAAGCATCTATTTGTCCCCTCTGTGCCAATATCCACGGTGGAGGAGAGCATGAAATGCGACACTGTCCTCTCAATCGAGTCTGCTTCAATTGTGGAATTCCTGGACACATTAATCGCGAGTGCTCGTACAAACGGGGCAGCGTTCCGCCGCGACAGATTTGTTCCATTTGTTGTGGGTCGGGGCATACGCGGTTTCAATGTCCACGCAGTAATGTGCATGGGATTGAAGATGCCATTTGTTTGGTCTGTGGCAAAACGGGACATTTCATGTGCTCCGAACTCAAATGGTTCTTTGGATTGGAAGGAGTCTTTTGTTTCAATTGTGGTGGCAAGGGACATGTGGGACAAAAATGCCAACGGCCCATTCTGGATGATTTGGTGCGAAATGAAGGATGGACCCTCAAGGAAATTGAACGAGCGGAAGAATACAAATTGTAAGTCTGCTGTTTGTGTTGCAGTAGGCTTTGTGTCTTGGGTTTGCCCTTTCGTGACACGGGAGAGTGCGATGTTTGTTGCAACCGTCAACAAGAGGATGCATGAGCTCTACAAGGAATATTGTGACAAAATGGAGGGTCTCCACTTTGACATTGAATTCTTTGTAGAGTAGATTCATCACCTTGTTGAAGGCCACAGCAAAACGAGTTCTCACGTGCCTCGAAAGGGCAAGTCGTTGTACATGTCATGATTCCATGGCCGCCCTTTCTTTGACATGGGTGATCATGCCAATGTCGGAACCGTCGACGCACAGAGGTATCAGCTCTACGAGGACTACAGGGGCAAATTGAAGGTCCTCCATTTATGCAGGTTTTCCTGTTGGTCCCTGTATTGCTTGTAGAGCCGATGCCGCTCTTGACCACATTACTGCCAACTAACGCATCCTGCCAAGAAAGGGCACACCAATTGGATTGACAGGCACAGACAGTCGGTGATGAACAATAAAAAGAATGTTGACTCATTCCTGTTGCTTCCTCCCTCCTCTCTTCTACAACACAGAGCCGAAGATGTGGAAGCCGAACGGATGGAACAAGAGCGCAAGGACCGCGAAGAGGAGCAAAGACGTACCGAGGAACGCGAACAACGACGGGAGCGCTATCGAGACAAGGACCGCCAACGTGCTCGCAGTGCTCCTCGACCACGTGGTGGACAAGAAGAGTATCGATACACAGTCGACGACAATGACAACAACAACAACAATAGTCGCAACAGCAACAATCGACGGGGATATGGTGGTGGCAGCAGCGGTGGCAGACGAAGGGGATATCGATAAAACCTTTTCCTTTCTGCTGCGTGCATGACTCGACTCTTGTGGGGAGTGGTTTTCCTCGCTTTCTTCCATCGATCATGTCGTTTGAGATTCCCTTTTTCTACCCCAAAAGGTGCCGAAGCATAGCACACAAAAAGATGCGTTCCTCTGGCTGCAGTACATTGTAGGGTGGGACAACATGTAGGTGCCTACCGGTACTAGTATGCCCAGCCCTTGATACTTCCATTTGTTTATCAACATCAAGATGAGGAAGGTGCGGATGCCCTAAAATGAATGGACAATCGGCCTACTCTCGTCTCTTCAGCCATCGAGCTATTCTGTTTTCCAAAAGAAATAAACCATGAGAACTGATCCAAATTACAATTAATTTGAAAATGACTAGCTTGTAGAGGTGGAACTAATAAATAATGTTGTTGATCAGCAGCCTCTGGCCTCGAAGGTATCCTCTGCCACTAGTGGACAAGCAAAATGGGTAAATAAAAAATTTACTTTTTGAAGTTGAGGTCCATGTCGGAGACACGGGGCGGGGTCCATCGGTTTCCGTAGTACGGACTCTGTGGCTTCCAACCCTCAACATCTTGCATAGTCCACTTCGTCCGAGCCGTGATATCACGTTCACGCTTGAGGAATTCCAAATCGGCTTCGGCCTGCAAGTAGGGAGCCATCTGGAAGCGCAATCGACGCTCCGCTAGCTTCATGGCAGCACGCTCCTGGTTGTTCTGGCCCACACGGTAGAATCCGTACATCATGACCACGCTCGAGCCAAGCCACAACTGCCATCCCTTGGGGCCGCGTGACTTGATGGCTTTCGTAATGTCCTACAATCAATCAATCAATAATATGGCATCGAAAAAGATCAAACAGGTAAGAAGCAGCAAAGTACGAGAGCAGAAATCCCACCCCATCCCTCCATCACGCACCTGCTCAGGAAAACCACCTGGTGGTGGCATGTCCTGGATGGGCGGAAGCCCACTCGGTCGGTAACTCATCTTGTCTTTGTGGTCGTTATCGGAAGATTGACTACAGAGAATAGATGGTACCGGTACCTTGACACCTGCAATAGTCTAGACCTGCCGATGTAGACTACTTGTTTGTTGTTGGTGCTCGGTTGTGTGGGTGATGAGGTGGGTGCGTGTTGGATTGGTGCTGCATTGAGTTGCTTAAATCCTTAAGCTTTAACGTAATTACAAAGTTAAATCTCAGAGATTCAGGGACCATTTTTCCACGCGTCGACGTCTTCGACTTTGATAACTCCTCTTGACAGTCGGATCCTCACCCTACTAGCTAGCTAGCTAGTAGAGTACCAAGAAAGAGTGCTGTATCCCAGCTTTGCCCAAATTGAGGCGCTATGGAGCCTTTCTCAAAGGTCTGCCAAAGAATCGAACCATTGTTGACAGCTTGATCAGTTTTGGCATCCACGATGAAGCTTCAAACTCAAGAATTTTTTCTGGGGCATCGAACCGCGTCCTGACTGACTCACATTCCACAAATCAGCAGCAGTATCCACGATGAAGAGAGTATCATCTGTGTTCCGTATGTATTTTATTTGGGGTCATTGTTCCTTAGGATATCTCATCCTCGCTGGACCGTTCAGATAGCCCGAGGGGGCAGATCCTCAACATCGCTCCGCATCAGGGCGAAGTTCTAGTTAGACCCCTCTGTCAGTTTCGCTGGACCGCCCAGATAGCCAGAGGAATGCGAAATCAATAGATGATAGGGTCTGGTGTAAAGTAACTAACTGTATGGGAAAAGAATGTTGACTTTGCTGGTCGTGTAGTGTAGACTTAGTTTGAATTATGAAAGCCGCTTTCAGCGGACGGGTAGCTTGCTGCTAGCAACCTACCCTCTAGCTAGCAAGGTACATGTATAAAATGGATATTTTCTAAGATCCTGAGGCGTAGAGGAACCACTCGACTTCGGAAACATCGTTGATGCTGTCATGACTGGGTGATGACGCATGTTCTGTCTTTTGCCCCGATTTCTTCTCAAGTTCATTCTGCTCTTCTTCTTCTTGCTGCTGCTCCTTGTGGACACTAATCGCACTGGTAATGCTAGATCGATTGACCTTGGTTTTGATTTCGCGAGGAGGCGTACAAGGAGCAGTATCATCCCGTTGTTCCGCTTTCGTATCGGTTTCTCCCTGGTTGTTCCCACTATCCGTCGCCTGGTTGGTAATATTCTTGTTGTTGTTCTGGTTGGATGGACTATCTGGTGTTGTAGTGGTCTTGTGGGTGCTCTCCACATTGCATGTAGATGATGATGATGGTGAGGAGGTAGGAGAGGAGGATGTACACCACGCATAAGCCGCCAACATGAGTTCCCGCAAAGTAGATTGCAATTGAGTCAATAGTTCCGGGTCCATTCGTCTCCCCAATGCCCGTTCCACTTGGGTTTGATATCGTTGCTTTTCGTGTGTGGAAAAGACACTGACATCAATGGCCTCCAATGCATTCCAAATGGCCGCCACGGCGAGCTGACTGGGTCGATGATTGTCGCTGTGAAAGCACGAGAGCTTGTAGTCGGACACGGCCAATTCCAATTGGTATTGGACGTGTGGATACAGTGCCGACGCCAACTTTTGGTGGTCGGGCAAGAGTTGCAGCAAGTGCTGGACAAACGCCAAGGGCGTGGGACCGTGGGCCACGCGCCAGTCGAGGGCGTCTAGAATGTTGGATTCCATGTCTTGGAAATCTTGTACCGAGTAGACATGATTGGTCAACGCCACGAGAGACTCGATACCGATATTGTTGGGTTCCAGCAATTTGACGGCCATGTACAGACATGTCAAGGAGATGAGTTGATAGGGATTTTGTTCCGTTAACAGCGAGGAAATGTCGGAACGAGTACTCAGATAACGATCCAACAAGTGCGTCATGGCATAGGTCACCACATCTCGTTGGAAACCACCATAGTCAACCACTTGGTAGAGATATTCCACGGTATAACAACGCGATACCGTCATGCATGACTGCTCGTAACAAAAATAATGCTCGGCCAGATACGTGGAGGATTCCAGTTGACGCATTGTTTCCAGTTGCTCGCGAGTCGTGGGAGTTGCCAAGGATGGCTGCCATGGATGGTCCTTTTGGAGCGGACGAGGAGCCACGCGGCAGACTTGAAGTCGATGGGGTGCTGTTGTTGCTACTACCGGTACTAGAGGTGCCATGGTTGCAATGGTATTTTGGTGGTATTTGAATGTGTTTTGGCAGGTTTGAATTGAATTGTGATGGAGGCTTTGATGGAATTGAATTGAGAATGATCACGAATACAACTGAAACGAAGGATGGATGAAACATGGCAAAACACCTTGCGGTAGCCGAAGAAAATGGAACAGGAAAGATTTTACAGTCATTTGAAAGATACCGCTGAGTCCCGGGTCAGCAACCAGCGAGACAGTCTTATGAGACAACGATAGTGCTGGATGACTGAAGACATCTAAGTCCCACAGACTTTGGAAGACCAAAGAAAATGTCAAGGGGGCGATCTTCGTGCACCTTCAATTGTGAGCTCGGGTTACCGGTAGGACTTGGGAGGGGTGGAGGGGCTGTGAGAGGAGGGATGGAGCGACAGGTCAGAGAATTCTCCCAGTCAAAGGTCCGCTGGGATGATCGTGATCATTCAATCAGCGAGGAGGCAAAAATCTTGTTGCCCGCGTTAGCTACGGTACGGTACCGTACGATAGCCATTTTTCGGAACAAATGCACCTCTGTAAAGGTATTACAGCAGCGATTATAGCACAGCACCGGCGAGTGGTCAGAGGTACAAAACGGAACAACCTGTTGGCTCGTCAAGGGCCCCCGGCCACTTCCCCTTTTCCCACAGTTTGGACTTCCTTTTCCCTTTCCTGACGAGGATAGGCCATCATGTCGACAACGCCCAAAGATGGCTCTATCCCCGCTAATAGCGAAAGTGGACTTGTTGGCAAGCCAGGGGAATCGCCATCCCCACCAATACCGGCACAGGTACCAGAACAGTTAGGGCGAAAGGGGTGGAAGGCAGTGATCTGATTGGCTAACGAGTTCTGAAGAACATGTATATGTCAGCAATATTTATGGAATAAGATTTAAATCAATTAACGTACCATTTATAGTTATTACGGATACAGTGTGCTATAAAGTTCGAAATTTCGTGTTTCTGTTTTCGCGAAAGAAGGATTCCTCTTCCGATCGCGACAATGACATCCTGCCGCTCACTCAACCAACCACCGGAGAGCCACTCGACAGTCATTATCTCAGCCAAAAGCACCATCATGACCGGAACAGCAGCAGCAGCAGCAACAGCAGCAGCAGCAACAACAGCAGCTACCACTCACAATGGAGGAATGGGCTGCCAAAGTCAACAGAGGAACTCGCAACAGAAGAGAGCATATCACGCCTCCAACAACAACAACAGATCCAAGAGAGCCAGAGAAGAAGGACCGCAAACAACACTGGGAGGAGTGTAGCAGAAGTCTTTGATCCACTCAAGAACGTGTCATCTGTAAGGCCAGACATCTTGGTCTCAGAGTCCCCAAGAGATCACACTCTGTCTTCTGTATTAAGAATACAATAACAAAAGGACAAGGACCTTTGAATGCGCTGACCATGGAGACAATCAAAGAAAGCAGAAGACTCACCAGCAATTCAGTGCTCCTCTACCACTGAATGAGAGAGGAAGCTGGAGGCATTCCACAGAGAAAATGGAGAAGCATTCTTTGCTGCTAGAAACAACACAGCCAAACCAAAGCAGAGCGGCAACAGACAACAAAAGGCACAATGGCCACTCCAGTAGCTCTTGTAAAAGGTAACCACTCTTGTTAATGATACTGCCTTTGTGAAAAGCACAAGAAGAAAGGAGCACCACTGGCAATGCTAGCAATGGCAGAAGCAGTGTCAGAATCCATTACCAGGGCAAAGAATCCAGAACTCTTCCACAAACACTTCCAAGGACTCACCATGACAGTTCCCTCCACAGAGGAGCAATTCGAGTCTCCTCACTACCACTCCATTGTGTGGCAGAAACTCCTCTGTGACTGGAATCGATGTGGAATTACAGTCCTTGTCCCATGGAAGATGCTCTGGCAAACTCAAAATACAAGGACAAACTGGTCACACAAAAAGACCTTGTTCCCCATCTTTGGCCTCACTGGGCCTCCTTCTTGGTATATCATGTCCATGGTGGGAACCGCACACAGAAGATTCGATGCCAACCTGCAGAAGTCTGGTCCGATCCCAACCATGTTCATTGCTCTATCCAGGGAGTCCAACATGCTCTACCTAACAAGGCTTGTCACTTGGAGCAAACAGCAACAGAATACGATCTATCAGTTAACCTATGGAAATGAGACCTATCAGCCGCCCATCTACAATGCAATCAACAGAGAGTATCTTAGAGCCATGATGTCATACCTCATACTGGCAAGAAGCGCCACTGACTGATCCCTTTCTTCAAAAGGATGGCACTACATCAACAGTTCCTCCTCTGGTGACACCATCCTGACATCATGATGCTGCTTGTGCTTCAAACAGGAACCATAGGACAGGCAACAAACAACAAAGAGATCAAAGTGTCAAATGCAACAAGGAATTCTGCCAAGACACACCTTCCAGTGATAAAACTACACAGAGTTGGTGCTGCGTTGGGATGCTGCTACTGAACTGGAGAGATTGCGTTGCAGTTCTGGTTCCCACCACCAAGACCATCCACCTCTCCCATGCAGCCATGCAGCTAGCAAGGAGGAGCAACTTCAATCCAGCTGCCATGTACAGCGACACCTGCCCCACAAGGATGACTATTGGGAGCTGCTCTTTCCAGGATCGAGGGAAGACTTGCCTGTTCATTATGAGAAAAGATTCTGTCAACTTTGAGGAAGGGTCACATTGATACTTCAAGCATGAGACCTTTGGATGCCTTATGAGTACTCACCAGATGACTATTGAGAAGGTCCTCATGCATTGAAACATGGCCTCTGTCCTCCATGGCAAGCACTACTCCATGGCTGAGATCTCCGATATGCAAGCTCCAAGGTCTTCAGAGCTAGGTACTCCAAGTATCTAAGGAAGAAGATGAGAGAACCAGAGACATGAGGCAGAGGTTGCAGCAGTGGTTCTGCAGGTACAAGGTGACAGCCAGTGATGGTAGCCACCAGGACAGGGCCGACTCGATCCAGCCAAGAACTATACTTGTTCACTTCTGATACCAAGCCAGCTGTAGAGAACTGCGTGGAGAAAGCTCTCACTTGGCTGATCCCTGGCACTGGAAGACATTTATGACACAATCCAACCTTCTCCAAACTCCAAGCACAATCTTCCAGAGTACCTATCAAGGAGAGGAGAGTAAAGTTAGAGGCTTTCCATGACAATTTGCCCACTTTGGCAATGGTGGAATGAGGAGAGCCTTGCTGATGCACTCAACCTTGCTGGCACTGCTAGATACAACCTCAAGATTCGCCACAAGAGAGCCTTCCTGTCAAGAATCAGTGTGACAGAAAGGAAGTCAATTCCAGCTGGATGGGAGAAGGTTGTTCCTTACTGGAACATTCAGAGTTGGCTTACCTGAATGACATGCAGAGGCTGTGGTCTAGACAAGCCATTTCCAAATGCAGAGCCATTGCCAATAACACTGGAGAGCGATTCTTTTCAGACTTCATTGTTGGATTCAAACCTCACAGGCAGAAGTACTCACCAAATGATTGTTGCTTGTGTAGATTGTGCACCAGTCCAGTTGAAGCTTCACAACCACAACCAGTTCCACACCACACCTTCCACACCACAACCGATCCACAACCACAACCGTTCCACAACCACAAACCGTTCAACCCACAACCAGTTCACAGCTCCACCTCCACCACCACAAACAGCTCCTCCTGTAGCACAAACAAGAAATTCTTACATTGGTAACCTGATTCTATATCAGCAACAACACCAGATTCAAATGATGCAACTTGCTTAATGCAGCAGCAATTCCAACCAATACTGCCAGCTCCTTTCCAGCAACCTCCACCGAATGGTTGCTGTCACAAATACTGCCATTGGTTGACACACAGGAGAGGAAGACCACACATGATAGATCTTGCCAAGCTAGATGGAATGGATATTCTGCTGGGTAGCAACAACAAAGATTGAGATACATAGCTTTCATATCTAATTTAGCCAGTAACTTACAATGAAATTCATGGCTGGTTGTTTCTCTGTCTCCATTCTCGAAGATTGTCAGCAAAATTCTCACTCATCACAACCAAAGCTTCAGGTCACGGGGAGGATCTGGTCCCTCCAGCATTTTGTGAAGTTGTAGACAACAAACTTGTACATACTGGATACTGTCAAAGTCCAATTCAACATGTAATCAATGATGCTGTCATTTGGGAGGCAGAGGCTTGCATAGTCCATCCATGATAATCTGCTCAGAATAGGCATATGTAGTTGTCTGCACGCACACATTGCCAAGGCTTCTCCAAATCACATACTGACAGGTGAATCCATTCCTTGTCTCACTCATTGTATGGGTATCTGTTAACACTAAGCAGCCACTGTGAGAAGACCGGTGTAGTTGCGATCCTCATTGTCGTAGAGGAAGGGTCGGTAGTGTATCGGTAGGGAAGAGCGTCCGTAGAGAAGTAGAGTTAGTGGTAGTTGTTGTTGCAAGAGTCTTGCCCCTACCCACGTAGTCGCTGCTTCAAGACAAAATAGTCGTATCGGTAGAGGAAGGGCGTCGGTAGAGGAAGGATCGTCCGTAGAGGAGTGTCGGTAGAGGAAGGATCGTCCGTAGAGGAGTGTCGGTAGAGGAAGGAGTCACGGTGTCGGTAGAGGAAGGAGTGTCTGTTCGAACGGGGGACGATAGAACGATTAGTAGCATGCCATGGTCGCCATGTGGCTAGCAACAACAACAACAACAACAACAGCAACAAACAACAAACAACAACACGACAACACCACCAGCAACAGGTTTCGGTGGATTTTCGAAAATAATGGGAAGGTTGGTGCAAGCGAAGGATGGGAAAAAAGAGAAAAAAGAGCCAGTCAGCCTATCCGTTGAATCAATTTGAATTTATAAACGAACAACGAACCTCTACTTCCTGACGTATTTAATTGTTCTTCCGACACATGAGAGTTAGGAGTCAGGGGCGAAGACCATAGTCATTGCCTTTTCCCCTCTCTTTCGTGCTTTTATGTGTGTCCGATTTGATCGAAATGACTCGATCTTTGCCCTGCCTGCTCTTCAAGTGGGAATCCGGAACCTCAGTCACTAACCCTCTCCCTCTTCTTCTTCTTTTCCCTCCCCCGCGCTGCTGCCTAACCCCCCCATAAAGTCAGAACAAGAGGGCCGCGAGGAACAGTCCACACAGCAGCCGCAAAAGCAGCTAGCGCAGCCATCGCAGGAGCAGCTAGGAGAGTCAACAAACACCAACAAATCCACCGTGGAGAGAAATCAAAATCCAAGGGAAGCAGATGTAGATGTCACAAGAGAGGAAACTCCAACAGGGCCACCTCTTTTGTGTAGGACCCGTGCGGTGCGTAACACACTTCCAGGGGCAGTGGCAGTGCAAGGGATTCAGCAGCAAGAGCAGCAGGTGCCGTCACAAGCTGAAGCATACACTGCTGGGTCCGAACAGGAGAATTCAATTAATGACAACGGCAACAACAGCAACAGCAATCATGCAGTAGGATTGGTGGAAGCAGAGGCAGTGGATGATGTGGCACATCCACAGGCTGTGGCTCATCCTTCAATGGATGGCACCCACAGAAGGGAAACCATTACTCGGAAATATCAGTTGCGCTTTGCAGGTTTTGTGATCTTGCTTTTGCTAGGTTGTGGCATCATTATTGTTTCCATTTGTGGTGCTGGCTTGTGCGGTAGCAGTGATTCCGTTGAGTCCACAAAAGCTTCCAGAGATATTCTGCAGGCACCCAAAATGAGAAGTGTCCTTACTACCATCCTGGGAAAAGACTACTTTGATGGCGTGGAGGAATCTGGACAAGGCTATCGCCGCGACCTAACTGATTTCCTGAGGGAAACAAGGCAAAAATCTTTTGACTGGATTATCAATCAGGATCCACTGCAATTGGAACATGATGCTCCAAATTTAGTTCAGAGATTCCTTCTGGTGCTTTTCTACTATCAACAACAAGGCACAAGCCATGGAAAGAGTGCAATCCGCCAGCAACTTCTCAGGGGAGTGCATCCTCCAGTTTCTGCTTTGCACTGGAAATTTACACAGGGGAAACAGCCAATCACATCTGGGGGGATCAGTGGCTCTCTGTCAGTCATGAATGCCAGTGGGCCGGAGTCATTTGTGAGACTGGAGAAAGAGAAGAGTAAGAGGTTGTGGAACTGGGGCTTTGTAAGTCTCATCACCCAATGTGGATTGTGCCATTGATCTCTCACACATAGGAATGTATTCTTCAGGGTGGAATCAGCTCAACGGCCCTCTCCCATGGGAGATCACACAACTGCCACAGCTAAAACGTCTTCATTTACATCGCAATCTGCTGACCGGAGTGATGCCCCAATGGCTCTTTACCAACCAACCAGGCCGAGCCTTGGAGTTCCTGTCGTTGGACCATAACCAACTCTCAGGACCCATCCCTGCAAGATGGTTCGAAGGAACTGCAAAACTTACCAGTCTTAAGACCTCTTCAAACAGGCTGACTGGGAGAATTCCTTCAGAACTGGGGTTAATCCCTTGGGAGAATTTGAGTTTAGGCAACAATTCTCTGACAGGATCTCTGCCAGTGGAAGTGTTCCATCAGGGCTATCTTAAGTCACTATATTTGCATGACAATGATGTAAGTAGCTTAGTCTTTGGTATGGCATGAACATCCATGCTTGCTTGAAGCTAATGTCGTCGTATTTGCTTCTTGCCATCAAAAGCTTACTGGTACCCTGCCAAGTGAAGTTGGGTTGTCCGCAAACCTGGAATATCTTTACTTCGGTGGCAACAGTGTATCAGGATCCCTGCCTTCAGAGATTGGTCTGGCACGGCAAATGAGATATTTGCAGGTTTCCTACACCAACATGCAAGGGACACTCCCTGAAGAATTGTATGAACTCAGCATTCTTTTGGAGTTGCTGTTGGACAGTTGCAACTTTTCTGGGACCATCAGTTCATCCCTTGCTTTTTTGACAGACCTTGAGTGGCTGGTCCTATCGAATAACAACTTCCATGGCCCAATCCCCAATGAGGTCGGCGAGCTGACAAATCTGCGTCTATTGCAGGTGACTGAGAATGAACTGACAGGCACTGTTCCAGAGTCTCTCTGCCAAAATCTTGCTTATATTGATGGTCATTTTAAGGTTGTATTTGGGGTTGACTGTTTGCCCAGCACAGAAACTGGAGTCCCCACAATTGAGTGTGCTGTTGATTGCTGTACCATGTGTTGTGACAATACAGGGTATTGCCTTGTCAATTGATTCACTCCTGTCTGTTCTTTGCTGTTCCTTGTTGCGAGGACCCTTTGGGAATTGAACGCTACAGTATATCTGCTGGCGAATCGATGCCAAGCTAGCCAGTTAGCTACAAAATATATCTCACAAGCGGATTTGATAACGGTGCCGTAGATTGGCGGAGCCAATCGAATCAGTCAGTCATTGAAGAACTGCGGTTGTTCAAACATAGCTGTAACCAGGACATGAACCATCCAGGCTTTCCACAAAAAGGATGGCTTTCTCGTTTCTGGACACATTGCACGGCCGTGGCAGCATTCCTCCCTGACAGTGCTGCCCCCGTGACGTAGCCGTAGTCGGCACAATTTGGAGGAAGATGCTCGCCTGCGACGGTTTGACGAGAGCAGCGAAGGCACCGGTAGCCATGCCAGACAGCAGCAATGAGATTCTTTACATTTGAAAAAGGATCTACAAGCCTTGTTCTACCGGTAGATACCTTGGCTAGTCATGAAATACTACTGGCAGCGCGCGCGGTTGTTCCGCCCACCGCCCACTGTTCCCTTATCTGCCTCCGAGCCTCCGAGGACTGACTCGACTCTATTCCAAAACTGGGGATCAGGGTATCAGGGAATCAACCAACCTTTGGGGAGAGGTCTTGTGAGGTCTACATGTATGTATTGTCTACGGGCATAACTTTGACGACATAAAGCGGACGGAACAATGGGCCGTTGTGGGATTGCTTCATTCCCACGTCTACAGGTAAGCCCTGAGTACACCGTAACCCAATTGCCAGTCCATTAGTGTGACTCGACACCTCGACTCCTCACTTGGCTATGGCGTTTTTGGTGAGTGCATTGTTTCGGTTGTTGCGCTTTGGCTGGATCTCTGCCCACCACAAGCATTTTCCTTTCCTCCATTCTCCACCCTAGCTAGTAGTAGACACCTCTCTTCCGGTTGTGCAGTTGGTCTGCTCCCTTGGCTTCCCGGTTTGTGCCCCTGCACCTTGCATTCATCCTCTGGAGTCGAGTTATTATTCATTCCCACCCTAGTCCTCTTCTAACCCATACTGGTAGAAGCCTCTTCTCCAGCTCAAACAAAGGTTTGAGCGAACGAGACTGCCACAGTAGCTACTATTGCTGGAGTACTCCAATTAAAGAGCAGGCAGGTAAAGCAAAGTGGATCACAGACTGGATCGCAGATGGCGCTTGCAGAGTGCTATGGCTGTTGTCCGGAGAGATGCACCCCCGACCCTCTCTTCTAGCTAGCTTCACCCCACGTGTGCAACTATCGTCATGCCACCAAAGTGCTGCGTCGGCACAGCGTTTCCTGACACCAATCAACACAAGTGCTATACCACACGTCGCTCATGGTAATGGTACGACTAGAACCAAAAACTGGCGCTTGCCAGATAATACAGACAGGATTGCTAATTTAATGCAGAAGACTTTTCTTCTCTAGCCAGTAGGCAGTAGTCTTCCCAATGCTGTCTATGGTGCTGTTTCATCTTGTGTAGCAGCCAGCAGGTTGCCCCGCCAAAGGTATGCCAATCCAGTTCCCCTGAACTTTCTTTGTCGGACTTGATCGCATCATGCTGCCTTCAGCGTCGCGCCAAATTCTTTCGGTACGGTAGAGGTGCGCGACGTCCCCCTCATTCATGAGGACCGACTTGAATGTGATTATCGTTCCAAGCAGGCTTGGAAATGCGATCATTTGGACCTCCGACGGGGCCAAAAGGCGGCCGCAGGCTTTCAGGTTCCACAACCTGCCATCCAAGAAGTGACATGATTACTGAATAGCCGCATGAACTTTGGAAGTGAGTGCCACCAAAGTGAAAATCATCACAGAGGTGCTTGTTCCCACGGAAAGGATGAAAGACATGGCGCTGGCGACGGTATAAAGAAACTGGCGGTGTTTCTGTGCGACAACTTTGTTGCTCCTGCTGTCAGTACTAGTAAGAGCACTGCTCGTCATCTTGGAGAAGAAAAGGGTGAATAACAACCAGAAGATCATGATGATAATATTATATAGTATTGTTTTTCGCGGATGAAAGTGTTTTTGTGAGAGCTGTGGTGTGTGTTTGAGTTTTTGTTTTTGTTTTGTGAGGAAGGGGGAATGACGGTTGGAAAGCTATTGAAGCGAATTCTGGCCATCGAGCATGCAAAAAATGCGGTAACGCCACGAGTCCGGTCGAGTCGAGCTTGAAGAATGGACGAGTAAGAAATGACGTGCTATGGATACCATTCCCAGGATTCAACACAATAGATGGAGCCTGGTACACCATTGTTTATTGTTTACCGTACAAAGAACCAGTCAATTGTATTCTGGATCGGCACGGAAAACCCGAGGACGATTGCACCAGCTCCCCCATCCTTGGCTACGTACTCTACCGCTGCGTTGATACTTGACAAAATCGCATGATACATGTAAACGTACAAACTACCAGTCTGCATGGTATTTTTGGTACGATTTGCAGAAAAGTGCCCCATCAACGGTAGCGAAGCTGGATCAAAGTGTAATCATCAACTTACAGATATTCAAAGGAGTACAACCGGGACTTCTATCTAGATTGTTCCCCTCAACGAGAGGGCTTAGACTCCTGTTTAAATAAATTTGTGCGAGAGATCTTGGAACAGGAGACTCTAAGATCCATAATCCAGGGCTATTCAAAATCAAGAGGAAGTGGGTCATCCTCATGAGCTAGTGAAGCGCTACTAGCTACTAGTACACTAGCTAGAGAAGCAAACCTGCATGCTTGAGCCATCGATACGGTATACCGTACAGTACGGTACGGGACCGTAGTTTGCTGCTTGGCTGGATAGAGCAAGCGATGCAGGAATGCATGCAAGGGTGCTATAGCTAGTAGCTCTAGAGTACAATAATGATATCGTTTCTCCTGTCCTGTAGGTAGGATCTCCTCCTCTCTCCTTTTTGCATGGATTACCATACCGGTAGCAGCTACTGTAGCCTGCATCCTACATCGCTCCTGTCCTCGAGCGAGAGCTTGGATCCTCCGCCTGGCTGATCGACCGATGGTTGGGGATGTTGTGTTCTGGCGTGTTTGGTAGCCGAGCGATTATTAGAATGTCCATACCGTACCTTGATATCTCGTTCCTGCCTTTTAAGGTCTTGTTCTTGGTCTCCTCTCGCGTACTCAACGATCTCTGCTTCTGGGCAGCTTCAACACTCCCTGCCACGTACAACCAACTTGGCTCTTCAGAAGCACCAAGACATCAAGAAAAGGAAGAGGTTTTGCCACTTCAGTTCGTCGCTCCACTAGTAGCTAGCTAGAGCTATTTTTTAATAGAGCCAGTACCGGTAGTAGCAAAACGAGGATGGTACCGTTTCCATACGGGTACCAGTACATTGTTACGTCTCCTGAGACGACGCACCTTTTGGTTACCCCCTCAGTTGCACTCAGGAATCGATTTGCCGGCGTTTACTGTGTAAAATAGAGTAGCCGCACTTCAGTTGCAGAATCAACGGTCATGTGTATCATTAAGTAACAAGTTCCCTTTCGAAAGATTTAGATCGATTCGTGGATAAAAAGAACCGTTGAAGGTTCTAAGGTTAAGGTTAAACCAACTCATCGCATGCGCACGTACCGGTACAGCTGTACCAGGTACCGGTACAGGTCCAGCCAAATCCATTGTTGAAGGTGCAGCACTGACTTCTCTCCCTCATTGAATTCGTATGGTAAACAGGAAAGAAATCCAAGCTTGGCCAACAACAATGCATGGTGAGTGCTTTATCCAATCGGCCGATCGATCGATCGATCGATCGATCGATCGTAAGCCTATTATCAAGAGTGTTAATTGAAGGTACAGCACTGACTTCTCTCCCTCATTGGATTTCTATGGTATTCAGGAGAGAATTCCAAGCTCGGCCGTCAACAGGTGAGTTGTTTTAATTATTCGAATCGAATCGATCGATCGCACCTCTGTTATCCAAGCCTCACTCAAGCTGTCCTTCTCTGGTGCAGAGTCGAAAACCATCCCTCATTCAATCCTATGGACCTTGGGATGGCAGTCAGTTCTCGGCCCATGACGGCCAAGTTGGTGCAATTTGAAAAACAATGGTAAGTCTCCGGTCGTCTGCAGTTGAGCACAGAAAACAAAACTCATATCTATTTGTTGTTTTCTCTGCTGTACTGCTGACGGACGAGGAAATACCATTGTCGGGGTCGAACGAACGAACGATCCCTCGGGATAACAGCAAGAGGAGAGGCTCTGTTAACTCAAGCCCTATCACCACACTGAACGTCGTTGGGTCATTGAATGGCAACAGTCAACCGGAGGAGGAGTCTACACGACAACACTCGCATGCACACAAGAGAGTGGATCCTACTACTGGATTCATCCCTCCAGTGTTATTTCCTAGTGTTTGGGTGGTGATTCATGTGTCGGTGCCCACTTTCCTGTATGCACAAGTCCTCGAGCGAACGACTTGCTTCTTTCGTACGATAAAGATAGATAGATAATCGTAAAATAATAGATCATCGATTACCGACTAATAGACCACTCCTTTCATTAGATACACACCTTATAGATCAATAGGATTGACAATATTCGGTTGTGCATGTATTCGTCATAAGGATCCAACACGAGGTACTTGTACCGGAGTGTAGCGAGCAAAGCCGAACCTGAGTGTGTTCGGTACTGTTGCCACTGTCGCCGATGTAACTATACGGCAGCCGGCTACAATGGCTGGATTGACAATATTCGGTTGTGCATGTATTCGTCTGAAGGATCCAATGCAAGGTACCGGTAACGGAGTATAGCCAGTAAAGCGGAACCTTAGTGTGTTCGGTACTGTTGCCACTGTCACCGATTGATGTAATTCTACGGTAACTGGCTACAATGGCTGGATTGACAATATTCGGTTGCGCATGTATTTGTCATAAGGACATAAGGATCCAATGCGAGGTACCGGTAACCGTAGCGAGCAAAGCCGAACTTTCGGTACTGTTGCCACTAGCTATACGGCAGCTAGCTATACAATGGCTGGATTGACAATATTCGGTTGTGCGTGTATTCGTCATATAAGGATCCAATGCGACGTAACCGAGTGCAGCGAGCAATGTCGAACCTGAGTGTGTTCGGTACTGTTGCCACTGTCACTGATCGATGAACTCTACGGTAGCTGGCTACGATGGCTGGATTCATAATGTTGGTTGTGCATGTATTCGTCATAAGGATTCAATGCAAGATACCGGCAATGGAGTGTAGTCAGTAAAGCGGAACCTGAGTGTGTTCGGTACTGTTGCCACTGTCATGGATCGATGTAACTCTCTGCCTACGGTACCGTAGCTGGCTACAATGGCTGGATTGCATGTATTCGTTGTATGGATCCGAGCAAACTGAGGAAACAGGAGACGAATGCTGAAAAAAAGCCGAATGGATCTGGAAGGTGGAGAGGGGGGACAGCGGCTACTTTCCGTTCCCAAATTCAAAAGTCAAGTAGGGATAAAGTTAAGCGAACTATCGTATCTTTTTGCCAGCACCTCTTCCCTTATCCGCGGTCCTCGCCTCACACCTCACATGCCTCGTGCTTCATCATTCATCATCAATCATCATCATTCCAGCTGTTTGCTTTTCTTGGCTGTCCCAAGGTGTCCGATATCGTTATCTATCTGCTCTCATTTTCTTGGTGTAGTCGTTGACAATGGCAAAGAATCCTCGCAAGAATTCTCGAAAGTCAAAAGGAAAGGACTCTACTAGTAGTGCTTTCTATAGCAATCTGTGGTGGTGGCTGCGTGTGTGCTTGGCGGCGGTCGTCTCCAAACTCGTCGCGGATTACTATGTGCAGAGATCCCAACCTACCCTGAATCGCCAGTTTCAATCCTTCCATTCCGACGTCTACGTGATTGACGACTTTCTCCCCACCGAAGTGGCATTGGATTGGAGACGCCGCATGCTGGAAGCCTGGGAAAATACCCAAGAACTCTTGAAGGACTGTGAGGGTGGCGATTCTTGTCCCAATACAAACAACGAGAACAGTAACAACCGAACCTTTCACTTTGCCACCAACAATGACGGCTTCCAGCAAGGCGACGGACGGGTTCCCAACAATGCCAAGGTTCGTTCGTTGGAACAACTCCCCCAACGAAACCACACCGCCCATCAAATGCGACAACGACACATGTTTGCCTATGCCAAATGGGAATTGCCTCCTGCTCATGTGCTGGTACAAGAAATGGAAGACTACATGCGATCCAATACGACACGACAAACGGTAGCACGATTGTTGGCCGACAAACATCCCCAATTGGATCTGCAACCCCAATTGGCGGATTTGTTCGTCACCTATTACAATCAGGGAGATTTTCTCACGACGCACAATGACAATGTCTGTGGCACGTGGGCCTTTGTCGTGTCGCTGACACAAGAACCCGACGAAGGACCATCCTGGAACAACGATATGGGTGGAACCTTGCGCTTTCAATGTCCCCATACTACTCGTAGTAGATATCATCATCCCAGTTCCCCCAACTATTGGTGCGAATCCTTGGTCCCCAAATTCAATACGGCCCTGTTGTTCAATACGCGATTGCCGGGGGGTGTCATGGGACCCAATCATGAAGTCCTTCCCGTGCACGTCCCACCGTCCAGTGGCTACTTTCGATTCGGTTTGACGGGATGGTACATGGATGCGCAGGATGTCATGGACGAAACTGCCAAGGCGGAATTGAACAAGATGAGAAGTCGGGATTGATAAATAGGAAAACGTGGGGAAAGATCAAGGAATCAGGCGGAGAAAGGTGATACATGAAGGATGTTCTACTTTTTCTAGATACCTGAACCGCAAAACGTTTAATGCGTGTTTCCAAAATCTCAATGCAGCAGTGATTGCCTTGGCAAAGAGAGATGGGACCAGCAATCTCCGTGGCCCGCTACGGACACCATCGACTCGGAACTGGCTGCAGTCTACAGTATGTCATGGAATGAAGAAGAAGAAACGCTATCAGTACTTCAAAACCTTCCAGGACGTCAGCTCTCTTCTTCCCGCGAGTCCGGTCTGCCATCACAACAATATTATGATCTGTGGTGATGCCCCGTCCTGGTGACTGTACTTTTGCGGGGATAGCAATGGCTGGCCAGCCAGCAGCAATGGTTACTTTACAAATACTACATGTAGAATGCACCAATTTCCAAGACGCGCTGCAAGATTCACTGTCTCCCCGTACTCGAAAATCAAGGGCTCCACTTGTCGAGCTACTACATGTACACCGAGATGTTGTTGTTGTGTCGCTGCGTCATTCCATCAAGCTAGCTTTACTTTCTTCTTACTCCACCTCTTTCTTTTCATCATCTGTTGTTTTGTCGTTTCCATTGTTTTCGGCACCTTCCTTGTTGCTAGAAGAAGACGCCAAGTGTTCAAACATGCCTTCAATTCTCTGTTCCACCCAATCGTATATTTCTTCTCGTCGTGCCGCAATCACCTCGGCGTGTTGAGGCCGACTTCCGGCTCGAATTTCTTCGGCAACTTGCAACAATTTGGCCCACATTTGAGTAATGACGGTTTGAATGACAAAATTAATGACGGCGGTTGGAAAGAGGGGTGATATTTTGCCATCCAAGCTCAGTGAAAATCCCACCAGCATTAAATGTTCGTCGGGTGGATATGCGACTCTGGAATTTCGTAGACAGGGGTGATTGGGTGGACATTTTCGAATGAGCAATCCTCCGTCAAATTCTGCTCGTTCCATTCCATCGGGAATGGGAGGAACATGGACCACATCTTGATCGTAGACTGGATTGGAAATGGTACTTTTGTGCACATCCTGTCCTTCTTCGAGTGAAACCAAACTAATGGCAATCGATCCAGTAGTATGAGGATCCTCTTGAATGTCATCAATATCGTCCACGCCACACGTCCGAATGACGACATCTCGCGATTTGAACGGCCAGGGAACCGCCGTGGCAATGCGGAGAATCTGTTCGGTGCGTCCCACTTGTCCCAATTTATCGACCAGCTCGACTCCAATGCGCGGCACGGTCCACGATGGCAACCACGACATGTACTGTTCGGTTTCAATCAACACCGCCAATAGGGGAACCAACAAACTGGATTCGACGGGAGACTCGAGGCGGCATTTGAGTTGCAAATCTTCTTCCAGTCGGTAGTACATGAGTGTATCGCGACGATCGTCGTGGTATTCGCCGCCTTTGATCCACTGGCCAGCGCCACTAGCTGGTTCACTGTCATCACCGACGTGTTCTTCAACGTCGGCCAACAAATCGGCAATGACGTGATTCAAGAGTTTGGCTTTTTCTTCCACTTCTTTTTGAAAGGGCACATCCTTGTCGGCAATGTGGGTGGTGTGTTTCAGCATGCGTGCCGCCACGAGAAATTGTTCCTTTTGGTAATGCTCCTTGGCCTTGGTCATCAATTCCTCGTCACTCCAATCGGCAAATGGACTCGCACAAGTGTCGCTGACATTGGACGCGGTTTCCGCTTGTGTGTCCATGGTTTCTTCCCGTCTCGTCTCGGGTTTTGTTTCCACAGTAGTATCCTCTTGTTTCAACTCGCTCATGGTGGCCAACGCTAACAAATGTCTTCCACCAGCCAACATGTATTCCAAACAACAGAGCACGAAACAGAAAACAAAGAAGACCAGAAAGAAAATTCAAAATGGAGCTTCCTCTTTCAACTGACAAAAAGGCGTCACTTGGCCACGCACGCCAACTTTAGCTAGCTAGTGAAGCTGTGAATGTCAATCCAAAAGCCTTTTCAAAGCCCTATTTGCCACATTGTATCTCGATCCACTGAGCGACCTTTGGATCTTTTGTCGAGGACCAACCATCCATCAACACCAAACGCATCGCCACCCTCACAATTCCTTGTTGCGTTGCCACAGACAACCTGTGTCTCTCGATAGCTGACGATTTGATTCAGTTGTTGCACCACAGGACAAACACACAAGGCGCATTGTGAATGCAGACAGCACAGGAAAGATGATCCATGAAACCTATCGCAGCAGCCGGGCCACTTGGGAATATCTTGTATTACTAGTTGCCACAGCACTCCATCTGCAACAAAGTTCCGCCTTTACCACTCCCTGTCCACGACATGTTCCAGCCGTAGTAAGATGCGAAGACAATGTCGAACTCGCCGCTGTGCCAAAGAAGAAACTGGATTATGAAAACTACTTTGATGATCTCGAAAAAGAAGAGGAAGAGCCACAAGAACCAGAACAACAGCCATCACTACAAGAACAACTACATGATGTATCAGCAGAACATGATTATACTATGGTCGGAGACACTGACACTACTTCCCCATCATCACTGTCATTGGACAAGATTCATCGAGCCATTGCGGCACGCCGCAGTTATCAACGAAAACGAGACTTTCGCAAGGCCGATCAAATATTGAGCGCATTGAATCGAGGTGGGGTATTTCTCCACGACAAACGACGGGAATGGAGAGGCGATGGCGTCAATTCGTTTGGAAGTACGAAACGTGACGTACACTACGTTAGACGAGGTGGAAATTGGGACAATTACACCAACGAAGAAATAGACCATATTCAATCTCTTATTCAACAACGACGACAGTGCAAACACAAACGACAATTTGAGCGCGCCGATGCATTGGAAGCGGAACTCAAGGTTGAGTACAACGTACAAATAGACGATGACCGACTCGAGTGGTCCTTTGCTTCACAACAACAACACGACTATGTCCACACACCCTTAGTGGACGAACAGGATAATGATCTCGATGCGGACACACACGACAAGATCCAACAATTGGTAAGAGAACGAAGTCTGGCTCGCGCCAACAAGGATTTCCGTCAAGCCGATACATTGAGGGACACGCTTTTGGAGCAGTATTCGGTCGTCATGGATGATCGGACCAAGGAATGGAAAGTGGTGCTAGATTGGAAAGAGGAATATTGCAACGACCCCTTTGTAGTCGATGCCAGATCGTCTCAACGATCCGCGTTTGCCCAAAGCAGGGATCATCATGGAACTAATAGCAAGAAAACTAACAAAAGGGACGAGGATCTTGGGGATGATGATATGGACGCACTCTCGGCTGCAGTGGATGCCGTTTTTGCAGAAAGAGAGGTTGCCGTAGAAGAGTTCCACCAGGACGTAGAGCAAGACGAGGAGCAAACGAATGAGGGTGGTCAAGTAGAAGGACGTTATGCTTCAGTAGATGAAATAATTGCCCAAGAATTCGCTGCAGATGACTCCCAGCAAATAGAGGAAGAGGAGGAGCAAACGAATGATGAAGTAGTAGGGGCAGTGGCTTTGGCTGCAGACGAGTCGGAGGAAGCAATGATAGAGGAGGAGCAAACGATTGATGAGGACATTGAAGAACTCTCTGCCGAGGTTGATGCGGCTTTGGCAGAAGAATTTGCCTCAGACAACGAACAAGGCCGTCCAATCGTGCAAGTACTGGAGGAAGACGAAGCGTCTCTAAAGGCTTTGACCGTACCAGTGCTCAAGGAAAAGTTGCGGTTGCAGGGACTTCCAGTGAGCGGTCGCAAAGCAGATCTTATTGATCGGTTGCTTTCCAATTAACTCTTGTATGGTATTTTGAAGAGGCGAGTTGTTAATACTGTAGCCCGAGCTCCCCCGAGCCTCGAGCTACTATAAGAAATCGGTTTGGGTTTGAATTGTGTGAATCCATTTTCCAGAATTGTAATTGTGAGAAATCATTTTTTTCGAGAATTGTAATTGTGAGAAATCGTTTTTTCAAGAGTTGGAATTGTGAGAAATCGTTTTCGAGAATTGTAATTGTGAGAAATCATTTTCGAAAATATAATTGTGAGGAATCGTTTCCGAAAATTGTAATTGTGAGAAACCATTTTCAATAATTGAAACTGTGAGAAATCATTTTCAAAAATTGTAATTGTGAGGAATTTTTAAAAGTTGTAATTGTGAGAAATCAGACGAAAATGTAATTGTGAGAAATCGTTTTCGAGAATTGGAATGGTGAGAAATCATTTTCGAAAATTGTAATTGTGAGAAATCGGTAATAATTGAAATTGTGAGAAATTGGATAAAGTTGTAATTGTGAGAAATCAGCAAAAATGTAATTGTGAGAAATCAGACGAAATTAAATTGTGAGAAATCGTTTGAGAATTGTAATTGTGAGGAATCGTTTCCGAAATTGTAATTGTGAGGAATTGAAAAATTGTAATTGTGAGAAATTGAAAATTGTAATTGTGAGAAATCAGGGGAAAATGTAATTGTGAGAAATCAGAAAATGTAATTGTGAGAAATTGTTTGAAATTTTAATTGTGAGAAATCAGAAAAGTTTTAATTGTGAGGAATCAATTTAAAATTTAATTGTGAGGAATTTTTAAAAGTTGTAATTGTGAGAAATCGAAAATTTTTAATTGTGAGAAATCAGACGAAAATGTAATTTTGAGAAATCGTTTTCGAGAATTGTAATTGTGAGGAATCGTTTGAAATTGTAATTGTGAGAAATCGTAATAATTGAATTGTGAGAAAAATCAGGCGAAAATGTAATTGTGAGAAATCAGACGAAAATTGTAATTGTGAGAAATCAAAAATAATTGTAATTGTGAGAAATCGAAATTCGAAAATTGTAATTGTAGGAAATCAGAAAAAGTTGTAATTGTGAGAAATTGGATAAAGTTGTAATTGTGAGAAATCGTTTTCGAAAATTGTAATTGTGAGAAATCGAAAATCGAAAAAATGAAATTGTGAGAAATGGAGAAAAGTTGTAATTGTGAGGAAAGGAAAAATTGGAATTGTGAGGAATCGAAAATTGAAAATTGAAATTGTGAGGAATCTGGAGAATGGAAATTGTGAGATTTGTAATTGAAATTGTGAGAAACCGGGCTTTTTAAAAATTTTGAGAATGATTCAATCCACGGTGGATGGATCTTGGATGTGCCAGTTCGCCTTCGTACCGTTCTGTACGGACTTTTTTGCCGTTCTGCCTTCTTTTTTCGATCTTCGACCAAGCAAGATCTTTTCTTGCGTCCACTATTTTTATTCCATGTTGCCAGTGCGACCTTCTTGGGAACCTACTTGGCACAGTCTTCTTTTTGTTTTGCTGAATTCATTGTTACTATTGAAAGACCACAAGCAAGATGAGGTCCTTGGTCCTGCTGTTGACCTCTTTGCTGATTGAACTGTCGCTTTGCCATGCTATCAACGACACGGACTACTACTTGCAACAAGGAGAAGCCGCCTTGGCGGAACAACGCGGTGAAGACGAGCTGACTGAGGAAGAACTCCTCGAAATCCTGGGCAATATCACCTTTCCCAGTCGCGAGACTGCCGCCGAGACCTGTGGAATTGCCGTCAATGCCAATCGCGAGGTATGCAATGCACTCATTGCTCCCGTCACTGGCGTGACGCCATTTTGTGAGTGCTACGATTTCTGTGGCGGCCAACTCGAACGTTGCTACCCACGAGGAGGAGTGACGAATGGCTTTGGCTGTCCGGAGGGGAAAGAAGTGGTGGTCGGATGTTTTGTCAATTACACGAAACCGGCCTTTTTGGACACGGAACCAGATCCCTGTCCTATAGGACACATTTGCTCGCGAGATGATCAAACCAATTGCGACGCGCTTCGCAATATCACCATTGCATTGCAATTGGGAGATATTCATGCAGGAATCTATTGTCCGTGAGTCTGTACCTTTGTTTACATAAGTGCTTGACTTTGGATGGAAGGGAGTCTAACCCTTTGGTTTTTGGTTGGCTTGACAAAAGAGGAACTAAGGACCGAAACGTTGGAACTGGATACCAAAACTGCCCGGTAGGGTTCTACTGCCCAAACTCGGTAAGCCAGACCATTGGATGATGGCTTTATTATTACAAGTCCCTGCAACTAAATCATGTAGGTGATCTAATCTTGCTCTCTCTCTCTATCACTACTAGACGACAACCATTCCATGCCCTGAAGGGTACTATTGTCCACACAAGGTATGTTGTGTGCTGGATGTTTGCAAGAGTCCACTGTGCAAATGAAAAATCTCATGGCAAAGTTCTTCCGTATTCTAAAGACGGCCCAACCAGAGATTTTATGTGCCACATGCAAAGAAGGAGTTACCGACCTGTTGCGGGAGCAGTACGGCTATATTGTCATCTTTGTCGCGTTTGGGCTACTTGTGCTATTAATGATATTCGTGCTATTCAAGCAACGCAACCAAAATCTCATTGACAGACTCTCCGATTTGCAAGAGTTGAGCTTGTTTTCCGTTCGCAGTGCCATCAATTTTCGCAATCGAAAGAAACAACTCCAAGAGTTGAAACCCAAACTCAAAGTGATTGAAAATCGACTCAACAAACTACAAGGCGACTCAAGAATCAGTGGAAATATCATTTCCACAGAAACCGCCAGTGGAAATGTCAAGTTTGATGCACAGCAGTTATTTGACATTTTGGATTCCGACGGAAATGGCGAGCTCAGCTACCAAGAGTTGAATGAAGTGCTACAGCTCAAACCGGCTGCACTCCGGGAATTTGCGGCCCGCATGAACAAGGCCGGGAAGGAACCTTCGGGAACGACAACCATCTCCAGAGCTGTCTTTGTCAAGTATTTCTTGCTGTCTTTGGAAGCATCCAGCTATTTCGAACCGACACCGGAAGAAGCGGCTCAGTTGTTTGATGCGATTGCGTCTCAATGCGAAACGGTCGACGGGGAAGTACCGTTTGCACAGTTTTATCATTCCGTGTTGAGCGAGTTTTTGACAGATAAGGAAATTCATGATATGTTGGCGAGGTTCAAATCGTTGCAGGCCATTGAAGACCAAGAAAGCCAACGTGGAGATGGCAAACATGAGGCTTCTTCTTATCGAACAGTTCCCAATGGTAGCACTCGGAGGCGACCCAGTCACAGCACAAAACGCAAGTCCTTTTTTGGCAACCAAAAGATCAACACCGTCAGTCGGGAGGAGTTCATGGCGAGATATCCGTCTCTGCTGCTGGAGGTGACCGACAAAAAGGAGGCGGAAGAGGAGCAGGGGCCAAAGGAGGGGATTGACTTGGCGTTTGAAAACTTATCGTTGACAGTGAATGTCAAGAGCAATCCCTTCAGAGTTGTCAACGATTGTACTGGAAGGCTGCCATCCGGCACAATGACAGGTAGGTCGCTTCGTTTGCATTGGAGCTTACAAGCTCTCGAAGGCCACATGGATCATCTCATCTCGTTGTGTCTTCGAATTTGCACACTTCAACGTTCCTCCTCTGCAATGGCTTTTATCGACAGCCCTGAGTAAGTACTCAAGAAGAAATGAGTTCATGCTGTTTTGTTGCAACGTCTTTCTTGGTTAATCATTGGTGTCATGTTTCAGTGGGGGGATCAGGCAAGTCCAGAAAATTGCGTGTCACGCCCGTCACCATGCCATCTTTATGGCAGCATGCCGCTCACAAATCGCTTTTTCCTGCATCTGAAAAGGAGCTGGAAAGACGTCCCTGCTCAATGCCCTTTGTGGCAGAGCTTTCTATGGAGAGGTAACCGGAACAATCAAAATCAATGGCCAGAACAGCACCATCGAAGATCATGCCAGCAGTGTCGGCTTTGTGCCTCAGGTATGGCGCTTACCACGATTGCGTAGTCTTGTTCAATTCACATGCCGATTTCCTCAGCTACGTGCCTTGCAAAATCTTGCAGGATGACATAGTATTTGCGGAGTTGACCGTCAGAGAAAATCTCATCTTTAGCGGGAAGTTCCAGGCAAGTCCAGAAAATTGCGTGTCACGCCCGTCACAACGCCATTATTCTGGCATCATGCCGCTCACATAACGCTTTTCCTGCATCTCCCTGGCAGCTTCCCAACGGGACGCCCCTGGATGAAATCGAAGACTTGGCCGATAAAACCATGGCAGCTTTGGGGCTGTCTCGTGTCATGAACAGCATGGTTGGAGATGTGCGCCGACGAGGAGTCTCTGGCGGAGAGAAGAAACGTGTAAACATTGGGCTGGAGCTCATGTCAAGGCCAAAGATCCTATTCTTGGACGAACCCACTTCGTAAGTTTTCGTCTATCGAGATGACATGGCATCCTGCAGCCCTGTACGATCTCTCTGTACACTTACGGATGCGTTCTTGCTGCTCGCAGTGGGCTTGATGCTAGCTCAGCCATGCTTGTGATGTCGTCACTGAAGACTCTTGTTGAGGTTGAGGGCGTCACCATTTGCAGCGTCATTCATCAACCGAGAAAGTTCATTTTTGACCTCTTCGATGGACTGATTCTTTTGGGAGTCGGTGGGTACATAGTATACCATGGGAAAGTTGGCAAGGCCGAAAAATATTTCAAAAAGCTGAACTATCAGTTGCCACCAGGTGAGAGCGTCGCAGATTGGCTGATTGATATCTCCTCAGGACGTATGGTGCCGCACATTGCTGACAAGGACGACGCCGAGCAAGAGAACGGCGAAGAACAGCCAACCAAGAAAGAGAAGAAGCGCAAGGACAAACAGGGAAGGGGGACAAGCCGTTCATCTAGTTTCAGTGATTCTGATGATGACCATGATCCACCAGCCAGACGATCCACTAAGGACAGCGACGAGGATCCTGAGATGCTCCTGTCGGCAGCGGAAAAGGAAAAAGCTAGAAGGGAACACCTCTACAGTTGCTGGAGAAAACACTTCGAGAGACTTCCGCAAAAGCAGCGTCATTTGTACGATGCCCCGGGCCCATCTGATTTCCCGCCGGCGGTGAAGAGACCGGGTTTCTGGAAGCAAATGAGGTATCAGATACATCGACAAATAATTCTTGCCATCCGAAACTGGTACATCAAGCTCATTGACACGGTACTTATCATTGGCGGAGTGATTCTTACTTCCGTTATGGCCGGGGTTTTGGAACCAACCATACATGACGACCTTAGCGGTCTTGACTATTATGCGCTCGCTGAGCCAGAGGGAAAAGCAAAGGATGCTTTGGAACAGTTGATAAAGCAGTTTCCGGTGCTTTTCAGGTTCGCTCTGCTCGCAAACCAAAAAATCGTCGGGTATGTTGTCTGTGGTATTGGAGGTCGACTGATCGTTCTTCGGATCTAACCTGTGAACGATCGCTTGCAGCTACGCAAATCAGTGTGGCGTAGTTGTGGCCGTCTTGGTTGGCCTGACTGCAACAAAAATCATTACGGAAAAGCGCAATGAGTTCTTCCGCGAGGCTGGGAGTGGGTACAATATTAACGCCCATTTCTGGTAAGTGAATGCGCATCACCGTGCCACCATGATGATACCACTCCGCTTGCTAACGCACGTTTTCACTATCGCCCAGTGCGATCAACCTGATAGCTACCCTGGAACACGGCGTTCAAGTGATGCTGTCATCAATGTTTGCGCTGTGGTTGCGCAACTCGATTGCCAGTTGGTACATGGTACGTAGACATCTCTTTTGAATGATGCGTTGGGCAGAGACCCACTGCTTGGCCGTTGCCAGTCATGCCTCCCTTATTTCTCATGGCTGTTGGTATTCATTTTCCTCAGTACTACGTGAATTTCTTGGTGCTGTCCTGGCTGTGTGTGTCTTGGGCTCTTGTTTTCCCTTTGCTGGTTGGTCCCTCGAATGTGGTCTTGGTGACGGGTTTCTACATGTGTTTCTTTGCTCTCCTGTTCAGCGGGGGTGTCCCCCCTGTGCGCTACCCTCAGCTCTATAACAGCCCTTTTACTCAGCTGTTCTGCGGCCTCCTCTCTCCAACGAGGTTCTTTGTCGAAGCGATGGCTGTTACTGAGGGTCGCTGCCTCCCGGTACGTGCTTCTAAGTGCCTGTGCATGTATGCGTTTGAACGAGCGCACGATGGTGGTCTCACATGTTGCATTGACACGGTTTCCTTCCTTGTTTTTTATTCTCTTCAAACTCAAGGCGCAAACTGGGTTTACCAACTTGGGCGAAGCGCTCGTGGAAGTAGAGGAGATAGGCCGGGTTGCGTCGTTTAAGATTGTTGGTCAAGGAATGAATGATTTTGGTACCGTCATCACACGCGATTGCAATGGTTGGTACTGGGGGGTGCTTCCTGCGGTTTTGGTTGGTTTCACAATTCGCTGGATAGCAGCTGGCTTGAACCACATCTCTTGTCGCCCTCAACAGGCAAAGAAACCACTCCTGGCTACATTGGCAAAACGACCAATGTCGCAGCTAATCCTCTCAGCTTATCTCACCGTACTGGTTGGTCTGTTGGCTCTGAGTGCCGCTACACTGTTTTGGACTCCATCGTACCGAGCCAATCCGACGATACTACCCAATATGCGATGATTTTGCTGCTTGCAAGGAAAGCTGTTGCGCCGAGCACGACCTCATAAGCACATGTGGTGCAACCAGGAAGCTTCAAATTGGTAAACATCTCGAAGTACTAAACAACCAATTTCGAGAGTCTTCTACTAGAGAAGAGAACATTTCATATCCTGCTTACTATGACAATAGTGAAAGAGCATGTACATCGATCATTTATATATCATGCTTCGTACTACCTAGTAGCTGTTGCCATTAAGAACGTGAACACAAAACGCACCCTCTAGCCGTCTTGGGGAAGACGACCGTGGCCTCTTTTTTTCTTTCTCTCCGTAGACGTCATTCTTGTATCACACCACACTCACACACAAAAATCACTCATTCACTCACACAAGTCTATCCGAGAGAAGTATGCCTAGACTTAGGCCAAGGGATCAATGATATCACAATCCACATCATCCGAGTCGAAGAATCCAGACGACAAGACATCACCGTATTCGTTCATATCGAAGAATCCACTTCCCAAGAGACGGGACGAGATACTCCCTCGACTATCGTCCATATCGGGCGACGAAAAGTCCTCGGGAAGTGTGTGATTTTGCGTGGGCATTTTTTCAATGGCCAATTCGGGAGAGATGGATTCGGTGTAATCCATGGCGTGTGGAATTCCACCTTCGAATCGTTGCGGCATGCCACTGGCGGCTCGCCCTTTGCCGTGTGTGGGGCTGACACAAGGAGGTAGAATTTCAAGGTCCATGAACCGGCTCAATTTTTCCTCGGCATCATCGGGTCCGGTAAAGGTCATTTTGGCAACCGCCCAGGGATCGAAAAAGTTCTTCGCAATGGCCCAGACAACGCGGAAGATGGAGGGGCAATTGATAATGACCATGCGCTATTGATAAAAGAGAGAGAGAAGAATGATGGGTTAGAAGCGAGCGAGAACCAAACGATTCTATCTACCGGTATTTCTAGTAACAGTGTCATTCGTACCTTGACAGGCCCGGTATAGTTGTCTTGAGTCAATCGCATCATGTGCGCAAAGAGTGGCAAGACGCCGGGTCTCAAATGACGAGAATTGAGACCTTCCAAGTCATAGACAATGGTGACCTGAGTAATGGGTCGTCCCATGCGTTCCTCATGGTCCTTGATCCAGGCACCACGGCCACAGAGTTCCCGCAACCAAATGGTGTGTCGAATGAGTGCCTTGTGTCCAAACTCTTTGAGGAGACTCGCGACATCAGTGGCACCGGCACGTTCGAGGTAGACCGGATCTCCATCGTGGTCCAAGCCTGAATTTAGCATAAATGAAAAGTGATGTTTGTCAGTTGGTGTATCCTAAACCAGCAACAGTAAGTAAGTCAATTCAGTACATACCTTGCAAGATGGCACTGGGACAGTAGTCCATCAAGACGGGAGGTGGTTTGTAGTCATCCAGAATGGAGTCGACATTGTTGGCAATTCGCCACTGTAATATAATAACAAGCAAGTAAGTGACAACAAAGGAGGTATTGTCATGTGTTAGTTGAACGGGTCATTCATCTTTTTCCATTTGGCGTCTGTGCTAGCTAGACATACCTTGATCATTCTACGAAAGAGTTTCTCGGCAGGTTTGTATCCCTGCGGTCCCTTCATGAATCGAACGACTTCAAAGGGATTGTTTTTCCAGTGCGTGACATCAAAGAGTTTGGCCTCTAGTTCACGCATCATGTAGACTTCTTCCTGACTCAAATCCCAGACCGTAATGACCTTGAGGAATTGCTCTTCGTCCCAGTGCGACTGTTCCGGACGAGGAGGAATGTCCAGCTTGCTAAGTTTTTCTTGATCAGCGGAAATAGTGCTGCTGTTGGAAGTGGGAGCTACGGAGGAGTCATGGTCGCTCCAAGAATGAGACGACGACATGGTATGTTCGGTAAACGTATTGGAAGAGGCTCGCTTGACGACGGGCGAGTGAACGGGAGAATCGACCATGATGCTGGATTCGGACATGGTCTTTTGAATCGAGATGGACGTCATGGGGATGTGACTGCCATTGCTCCTCACACGGGCGGCCGTCTTGCCCACTAGATCCTTCTTGGAGGATGTCGAACGACGACGGCGACGACTGCTCAGCTTCTTGAGTAGAGACGGCATGGTTACTTCTTCTTCTTCTCTTTTCAATCGATACGGTACGGTACTCTTTCAAACGATCGTAAAACCGCTAGTAATCAACTCTTTTATTGTCGGAGTGCCAACAAATTATGTGAAAGGTTGATGTACGATACGATGAGATCGAAGTGCTGGTCTTTTTCGTCGACAAGAGACACAGGCTGCTTGGTTGGTGACTTCTTGGAGATGATGATGATGAGATGCACCAACAACAAGAAATGAGCCTTTGACGTTTGACGGGATGGACAGGGACAAAAAGTGCGTGCATCTCATTTCTTTTGCTCTAATTAATTTTGGCCCGCAGCCAAGATGACGTAGCAGGGTCCCTTAGGATTTAAGACAATAATCCAGATGGTATCGCACCGTCAGCCGAGCTCGGAGTTGCCGGGATAACCACTCTTAGATGGAGTATCTTAAAAATAGAATATCCAGTTCTGAAGCTAATTCAATGTTCAGTTGTCACGGCGTTGGACAAGGATGCTGGCCGGTGTCTAACTGGAGGTGCCGAATCCACACACAAAATGAGAGCTTGGCTACAACTTCTGGAGCTGGCAGTGGAACCTTGTGCCAATGCACTGGGTGGATGCACACCGGGTGGATGCAAGCCACCGCACTCGCTCCAGCTGCTCTGACCGACCACTGTACATGTAGATGACACAGAAGGGCAGTGTCTCCTCTACTGGCTTTGGCTAGCTGGAGGTAGCTGGTGCTATCTATGGCAACCACAGCAGAGAATGGGAGAAATGGTATTATCCCTTCTTGTACCTGGAATCAACAGCACCAGGGCACGATTGTGGAACGAAAAAGCCCCGTGCTGGATCTCTGAGCTGACTCGACTCTGCATTCTGGAGGTTGAGATGCTTTGCTTTGGCTTTTGAAGGCGGGCCCTTGTCTTGGGAGTCCCCAGTCAATCAACTGCTCACACATACCGTATGCCAAATAATTGGTCCAGACCCAATCCACACTACATGTACTCTAGAGTAGTATAGCATGTATGTGTGGATTTGTAAAACAGCCATATCTTGTGAGTTGACGGACAGACTTCAACTAACTTGAAAGATACCGTACATCTAAGAAACATGTTTTAGCAGGATGAATTTCCAATTATTTATGCCCTTCCTGGTCCGATCCCATGGCTGACAGGCTCGATGAGAATTCAACGTTCACTCCCGACCCCCACCAAAATCTCAAGTTGGCACAACGGGTGGCCAGAAGAACAATGCCCCAGCGTCATACTCATGAACTAGGGTCTCTATTTTCAGTCAAAAACGAATCCCAAAGTTGTTCCGAAAGCCTGCCTGCCTCAGCAACGCGCCGCCTCTTGACCCTATCAAGAACATTTTACCTCATCTTCTGAGCAATGTAAAAATTAACGGAACGCTGCCTGATTGCAAGAATGGACTACCGGTACAGTACTGGTACCGGTGAGACTAATAATAGTACAGTACTTTATTAGAGGAGGCGGTGAACTTGATGTCGCCTTTTGATGAAAAGGTTGATTTTATTAAGTCTTTTAAAGCGGTTGGTTGCGGTTGGTGACAGAATAGTGACGGAATTGCTTATGTAAAAAAGTGCAAGTTTGTGATTCTACAGTAAGTGATTCCAGGATGGGGAAGGTTTTAAAGCATTGGTGCACCTGACGTCAACGTTGTGTTGGTATTGTTAAGCCTTCAACAGGTGTTCGCTGTGGTTAGCAATCATGCGAGTTACAGCCATTGCCTATGTAATCATGTATTCGTTTGTTCTTCGTTAAGTCCTGTGCCGAAGTCCGTTGCAGTGGGTGCTCGTGCAGTTTACAACGACTTCAGTTTTTTCGCACAACCTAAGCACTCATTGTGCACCATGAAATTGCCGACCATGGCGCTGACTGATGATGTTTGCACCGGATTGTGCAGCGGCAACCTCCCATCAATGACGATAATGCAAAGCCTCCGCGGCGTTTGAGCGGCCACATCAAGAGCCAACCAGCATTTATGCTCTTTCTGTCTTTTGATGTTCTTTCGGTTGATTGTCGACAATGAATTGTTGACCGACGAGATGGTAAGCTAAGGCCCAACAATGGGTGCGACCCTGCCATTATTTTGACCGTCGAAATGGTAAGCTAAGGCCCGTCATGGGTGCGACCCTGCCATTGGTAAGCTAAGGCCCTACTATGGGTGCGACCCTGCCAAACAACCAGAACATCAACAAGGACAAAAACGATGCATTGATGCATTGGAAATCATGTTATGGAAGCGGGCAACAAAGTGAGTTGACGATGGCGGAATGACGGCCTCTTTGTCAGGTATCTTGGGTTTTTCTAACTCTCCTTCTTCTTTGTTCCGCTTTGATCTTCTTCCGTTGAATCGCCTGTCTTTCCTCTCTTGCTCGTGATCCGTTTGGCCGTTGCTGTGGAGGTGCCACGTCAGGGGCATGGCCGTTGCAACTACCCGGCACAACTGCTGGACGAAAGTGATCGGGGTTCGGTCCCATTTCTCCTTCAAAGCGCGATGGTGGGACATAGTTTTGGCCAGCATTCGGGTACAGCGTACAAGCCACCGAGTTGCCTTGGTCAGCTACAAGTACTGGTAACTCGAAAGTCTCATACCAATGGCCCAGCAAGATCAAGATTCGTACCAAAGAGTACCGTTGCCACAGTGGATGCACGAATCTGGACAGGACTTAGCAAACGGTCATTTCGATTCAACCATTCGCTCCGAGCTCCGAGTTGCTTGCCAAAAAGCTCCAGCCACGGATACTAGTCTGGGCCCACAGCCCAGCCCACAAGGAGCCTTGCCAAGCAGTTCCCTTCCCATCGGGGGGAATTGGGCAGCGCAAGTAGGTATTACAGAGGTCGGTTCAGCCGCTCAGCTAACCCTTCGCAGATCTCTCCTGTGACGCGCCCAAAACTACTATCCTTTGAACTTTGTCACTTTCATCCACTGAAAGATACCCAAAGCCGTCAATGGAGCGACTACAGTTCGATGCATGAACGAAATACTTCTGGCAGTGAGATGCACCTCTAGCTCGAGTAGGTTTGTACTCTGGGAACCACGGCGTTCTTTGCCATGGGCAATCATATTAAAGAACAGACAGCCGTAGGCTAGCTAGTGCCCTCAACCAGAATTGAATAAAAAGCCAAGGGGCTCGAGCAGTTAGCTAGCTTGTATTTGCTCCAATGCTATGAGTGATTACAATATCTAACCATGTTCTTTGTTGTCGTTGTTGCCCTGTTGTGGATTCCATGTCTGAGGTTTTGGCGGCAACTCGAATGAAGGTTCATTCTCCGAAGACTTGTAGTAATGAGCAGCTCGACTGGATTGGTCTGCCCAGTATTTAAGCCAGCCAGCTTGCCGTTCAAGTTCATTGTAGAGTGGTGCTCCCTTTTGCAAATGGCACATGTGATTTTCGTGATGCTTGGCTTGAGCATTCACGAGTAATTTAACACAAAAACGCAGGTGTAGTGGTAATCAGCGACCTTTTTAGCACGTCCTTTACTCCATTTTTCCATTCTTGAATCTTTTTTTCCCTTTGTTGTTCTATCTTATCCCAATTTGGACGGTGCTCTTTGCTCCATGCTGAAACTGCTCACGCCAGAAACTAATGTCTTCTGCTTCCAACATCTCATAGTAGTCATTGTAGCGTTGTATTTCAGCCTCGCGTTCGTCAGTTGCCTGTTCAGCACACTTGACAAGTTGCCATCTCAGTCTGTCAGATTCCTGCCTGATTTCTGCCTGGCTTGATTCTTCTTCTTTCCATTCAAAGTTGCACCCATCCATTGCTTCCCACTGTGCCACTTCTCCAAAAGCTGGCTGTAGGAATAGATCATTCATTCGTATCTTCTTCTCCAGCTCGGATCTTTGTTCGATGAATCTATTTTCTATTTTTTCCAGCCTCATTTTATGATCCTCTCTTTGCGTTCTCAAAAAGTATATCTGGGACCACTCTCTCCGTTTCCTGTCTCGGTCCTTCCTTTTCCGATTCTCTGATTGTTGCTTTGTTTCCTCCTTACGACTCTTGCACTTCCTTTTTCGTCGGCTTCCCTTCTTAGGTCTTTCTCCTCTTCCGTCAATCCAGCCCGATGGAACGCATTCTTTCTCGTTGGGCTTCTAAATCTGCAATTCCTGCTCGGTTGTTCTGTTGGCTAACTTTCTCTGTTTGTATATGCGATTTGCCTCAAGTTTCCTATGGTAGCAGGTGTTCCACGTTTGAAGGCATGTTGAAAGCAGCAGTTCAAGACTATGTATTGATGGAAGATGGATGGGATTTGGGCATGAACCCCAGGGTGGCTGCTACGGCTGCTGGTGTTCTGTTGTGGAGGGGCTGGGTTTCATCTGGGGCATCTGCACGGACATAAAAGGGGAGCTGCAAAGCGCGGAAATCACAACAAATAGTTCAAAAGGCCCTCAGCTTGCTAGCTGGTAGTTGAGGGCAAATGTACTCGAGTAGGAAGCAAGGACACCCTTTCATTGAAGAGCGTGCCGGGAGTCTTCCTGTACTCCCAGCCACCGCCCTCAGCTTCCACATGTAGATGACATGGGCATGGCAGTGACTATCTACGGCTAAGTACGGACAGTGGGCCCGATGTGCACGCCGGATTGATAGTGCCAGGATTGGGAGTGATTAACACCTGACTGCTGGATCCCAAACACTGCGCTGATCTGTCAGGGAGGGATGGATGGGCTTTGCGAAAGCACCATGGAGATCCTTCCAACTGGGTGTTGATCAGAGGATCAGCAGCCGGAGTCTGCTGCTCAACCCTGACACTATCTGCAGTGGCATCAGAGCTTGCAGAGATTGTCTTTTTTCGATTCCTTCTACAGGTGCCTAGCTAACTAGGGGACCCACTCCTTTAACTTACCCAAGTATCTGTCTTGCAAAGATGCCGAATACCAAAGAAAGGAGGAATAATGGAGGGTAGCTATTGGTACAGTACAGAAATTATTGCTCAACCTGGGTTGCTGCCAAGACGGAGGATTTTGGCTAGCTAGCTTGTAACCAAAGTCGTCACGGTGGAGATCACCCGTATCAGGCTATCAAAGGAAAACACGTCGTAGAGAGGGGCAATGGCAAGCTCGCCATCATCGCTATCCACGCTGTCACAATCATCATCGTCGTCGTCGTCATGGCGGCTGGACCTTTGAAACATGGATGCTTGTAGGGAACAAGTAGGCGCAAACATTCGGAATTCTTTTCCATTCAAATGATAAATGAGTCGACATTCATAAAAGACTTGTCGTGCTTCTTCCTCGTCAAACACTCCCCATCGCCGAGCCCTCGATCGAGCCTCGTTGCTGAGTCTGGCACAATACGCAGCCAGAGCTTGTTCTCGACCCTTGCTCTTCTTTTTGCTACTGCATGATGCATTCTTGGACATGCACTGGAAAATCATGACATTCTTGGCAAAACACAATCGACGCTCCTTGCGCGACGGAGTGTGTTCGTCGAGTTTGAGGAATTCCAAGCCTCGCACGCAGTAAAAGTCTTCATCTTTACAGCGCCAATCTTTCGCTGCACGAGCTTCGACGACTTGGCCAATCTCTTGACGAATCAAGCAAAAGTCTTGACGATTGTACCATACCGATTGTTTTTCGTCCTCATCTTCTCCGATGCGAGCGACTTGTACAATGTTGCTCACGCCAAATCGAACCTTTCTCGTTCTGTTTCTACCAGTAGTAGTAGCGGTAGCAGCTGTAGCAGAAGCCTCTTGCTGCTGGGTCAACAGAGCAGCGTTGGGTGTGCCGGTAGCGCACTGTGGGTCATCCAACGGCTTGCACATTGTCCAATACTAACGATAACAAAAACAACGACGACTTTTTCTACACCACCAAAATAGGCGAGATGAATGAAGTAAGGAATGGAGGCAAGTGTCTTTCTTGTAGAAGGATGTGTTGTTTGAGTGGTTTGTACCGGGCACAAAAGCAGTTAGTTGTCGCGTTGCTGCGCTTGGTGGCAGCGAAAGAAGCTGCTTGGTATCGAAACGGTAACGTACGTACAGATTCTACCGGTGGTATACACGCTCTAAAGGATCTTTTCTTTTTGTTTTACCAGCGTGAACGAACGTGCCTATTAAATTTGGTGAATAGATGACCGGACAGAAACAAATCTTCAGCTCTACCATAAATAGAGCGTCCCCCAAATCACGAGTCCAAAATCCAACGGCAAGTTCAGTACTGGATCTGTCTATACCAGTCTGAAATGACTCACAGTCACGATTAGATAAGCTTGGATACCCCTGAGCGGGTCGACCTTTGGATTATCACAAAACTCTGACTTCCAAGCTTTCATTCTCCCAACATGAAGTCCCAACTCACGGCACAGTCCCCGTTGTCGAACTTGCCTCCAGCGGCAATCAATTTTGGTCAATGGATTGCAGCTAAAGGCATAGCCTCACTTCTATGGTACAGGGCTGGCTGCACTGACACTTTACGATATGGCTAAGCTACACTAGGCTAGACTAACAGCTGGCAACTAGTGTCGGAGCTCCTCATGCGGCATGATGTGGCGAGTTGAATCTTCAAATCATCAGAGCTTTTCTCTAGTATGGCTGGGTCTACCAAGGGCTGGATATGAGAAACGAATCTCCTGCACCGACTCAACTTCTGGCCTACACATGGCCCATATCCTGTACCGGACCAACGTCCACACAAGCAGAGAATCTATGCCCAGCCAGCCCAACTACAGGGCATATATAGGGATAGCGGGCTTGCCCTGGCACCTGGCTAGCTAGTAGATCAAGTACATGTACATGTAAAATGAACCAAACTACAGGACCACACCACCTGGCTGTAGGAACAAGAGTCTTCCCATCTCAAGCAAGCGGCGCCAACAGCTGGAACCAGCTCCAATCTCAGGGACTAATTCTCGCTCTTTGTGGCTGTAACTGCACTTGTCTATAGGCTTAGCTATTCACTGTTACATACCAAACCATGTCTCTCGTCACAGCTTGTACTTGTACTGGTAGATCGGTTTTGCAGTTGCTGCAGGTAAATAGGCAAGCACCACGAATCAAAGATTTGATTCTGGTAACTTGCTAAGCACGAATAGTATCTGCGAGTTCTACAATGTCATGTACATGTGGTGCGGTACCGTGGTACCGTACTTGCAATGGGAAACAGAGTTCAGTTGCTGCGCCGCGAATTGACGGCTGTCACTGAAACTTCCCTCCGCTCTGGACTCGAAGAGTCAGTCTGTCAATCGTTCGGTCATCGATCTTTTGCCTCATCCAATCCAACCATCACTTCTAGACTACCGTAGAACGACGACATCAACCACATTGAACATGTTGAGATTGCAGCTACGGCTACTCACCTTCCTCCTGGTGTTGCTAGTAGTAGAGAACCTTGTCTCTGCCTTTACCACTACCCGGCTGGATATATACACGAGTACCAGGCCTTTGTCGTCGACACCATTGTTGTTTGCCACGAAAAAGAAGAAAAAGAAAAAGAAGAATGGTAGAACTCCAGGAGGAGCTGGGTTTGGAAGTTCCATTCCCAAGAAAAAAGCTGAGGCTGTCACGTCCCCGCCACAATCAACAACTAGTATGACAACGAAACTCCGCAAAGAACGTCGGCAAAAATGGATGGAGGACGAAGAAGAAATGGCGGTACCCACTACTAGTGCTGCAACTGCCAGGAAAGCACGCCGCCAAAAATGGATGGAGGATAATGATGAAGAAGAAATGGCAGTACATGTACCCACTACTACTACTAGAACTGCCACTGCCAGAAAAGCAAACCGTCAAAAATGGAGCGACCGAGAAGCCGAAAATCGGTATACACGAGAATACCACCAACAATTGGAACTGTCCAAGAATCCCAAACCTCAACAACTCATACAACTTTCTCAAGACCCACTCCTCTTTGTGATTGATGACTTTATCGATCCCGCCGCTTGCCAACGAGTACAATCGAACGGCGAAGGTTGCTTTTCGTTGATGTTCCCCGAATTAATCGCTGATTTACTGTTTCAAGGACAAGAAAACGAACTCGATGGACTCTTGTTCAATGCCGCCAATTCGCAGCAACACACAACCAAGCCGGTGTATCCCGATGGGCTCCACATGGATACCAATGGACAGTGTCTGTTTCGACACGTCACCTGCATTTTGTACCTCAATACCATTCCTGAGGAGTGCGGAGGCGCCACGGTCTTTCCTTTGGCTCGGGCATTGCCCAACGATCCCGCATTGTTGGCGTCTCAACGATTGTTGGACGAAAATATTAGTCACACCAACAGTCGGGCCGTCCAAGAGGCAGGATTGACTGCGGAAGCCAACTTGTTGGAATCCAGGATTGGAACCAACTACGCGGCCAATACAGGAGACCAAACCGCCATCAAAATCCAACCCAAAGCCGGACGGTTGCTCATCTTCTTTTCCCGAACCGCCACGGGACACCAAGATCCACGGGCTTGGCACTCGGGAGAACGCATAGTCTCGTCGAGGAGTAGTGCTAGGATCACAGAAAAACGAATCCTGACGCTCTTCAAGGAAGTCGCATATACCGACAAGCCGGGAGAAGCCAATCCCGGAGTGGCCCAAACCACCTTTGAGGGCTATTTGGCGCCTCTTATTCAACAGCAACAACAATGGCTTCAACGAAAAGCCAACGAGGGGTCGCCTTTGGTGGGCTATTATTGATATTGATTGTGACTACACATATTCCAACAACACACTCATATCCCAATCCAAGCTGCAGAAGCTCCGCTAGCTTGATCCATTCATTCTTCCTCTTTCAGCCCAACACCAGAAAGTTTCTTCAAAGTCTTCTGGCATCCAGGGAAATACCATCTCACCAAAGAAAAGTGCAGGTTGGGAGTCATCATCCAGAGCACTGGTATGGTATGCATGCTCATAGTCAAATTCTTTGCCTGTCCTTGCAAGATCTTGGAAAGCCCGGTGTGTGTGCAGATTATTAAGATGGTACAGGTACGGCACCGTCGTTGGAAGTCAATTTACTTGGATCCAATCTAGCTAGCTAGTGGAACCTTGATCCAATCTAGTGGTAACTTCAAAAACTTCAAACTCGGGCACGGATCGAAGGAACAACGAGCAAGTAACCACTGTTTGCTTGCCAGGTGTTTGGCGGGCCAACGCAGCTGAAATTTCATATTGCGTTTCGTTTCGTGCTACCAATTGCTTGACCCACCACTATGAAATCCCAACTGTCATTGTAGAATACTGATTTATTGTAGCACCGTTTGCGATTCTATAGCAGGCACAACGGTATTGGCGACAGCAAACTGCGCAGTCAAGATGCTCCACTGCAAGCCCAATAATAGGATTATCTACTGGACCAACACCAGCTCCAGGTTACACACCAGACGACACACTTGGTTCACCACCCCATTGTGGACCCCTTTGCTCGGCCCCACTCCAGGGCCGATTCAACACATCAACCTCCCGAATGTCTGCCATTGTGCCACATGGCCACTCTCAGCCCAATTACAGGACGCCCATATTGTTCTTGTCTGCCCTGATCTACGGCCACAAGACTGTACCATTCGTTGGAGCAGCTGTGGGGCTTGCGGTTACATCACTTTGTACACGATCCCAGAATAGACCCGATGGCACTGCCACGCCTTTACTCAACAGCAAAATTTCCTTGGCAGCGTCGTCCCCCGAAAATGCCCCTGCATCTACCCATCCGTTTTCACCGTCGATTGGGAAGGCTTCGCCTGCAATCCAAACCTTATCCTTGATGTTTTGAGCCCCACTTGGGTTGTCCCCTGAGCAATCGTAGCCACAGCTGGACAAAGTTCCCCGAAAGTTTTGGTCTGCCGACCAATTCCACACAAAACCTCGGACATAGTGCATGCTGGCCCTTGCATTGAATTCGTTATCCAGCATGGCCAAGACTTTTTGAAGTATTTGTTCATCTTCCAAGCCAATGTATGGCTCACTTTGATCTCCCAGGATAAACCCAGCCATCATCGTGTTGCCACTGGTTAAAAATCCAGCATTGACAGAGGTAAAGTCCCAAAACAGATTTTCTCCTTTCATATTGAGACAGACCCCTAGTTCCTCGAGACAAAATCCATTGAAAAAGTCATTGTTGAACTCCAAGAATACCTTGATGCCTTGCCACATACTTCCAGGGTGATTGATCGTCATGGAGTCTGGCAAGGGTGGTTGGAAGTTGATGTCGCCATCTTGGAGGATTGGTAATGGGACCGTCACAATGGCATGGTCGGAACGAAAACTCCTACCGTCCTCGCAAGTGGAGATCACACTGTCATTTTGATAGTCCACACGGTTCACTCGACAATGGTATTGTATCATGGCGTCTTGACGTTTCGGTGCAATGTGATCATTCAAGAAATCCCAGTATGTGTAATTGTTGGAAAACGTAGGGAGACCCGTGTCAGCCGGTCGTCGCAGATTTCTTGAGGGATCAGACTCCCTCATAATGCGGGCAATGGCACTGGGATATTGGACAAAACTTCCACCCAACTCCAAGGCTAATTCTGAGTTTGTGAAGGTAGTATCCTTCCAGACTCGCCCACCGAGTCGTTCCGAAGCTTCCAGAATTATGATATCTTGAAATGGCACGCCTCCATCGTTGAGCAACGTGTACGATGCCGCCAAGCCGGCTGCACCTGCCCCTACAATGGTGGTATGGTACGTCTTGGTGGTGGTTTCACTTTGGACAGGACTGCAGCAGGAAGCCAGAAGTAGTAGCAGATCCAGGAGAAACATCTGTAGCTAGTCGAAGCAACGCTGCGCTCTCCGTCACTCAACGATGTCACTTTGGAAAAGCAGAACGCAATGGCATGGCCAATCTAGCGACCCAGAGCCTATCATCCAACTTGATATCGCATCCTTCGCTCGAATGAACCTTGCTCTGTCACGGTGGTAGCGAAGGAGGTTGGGCTGGAAGCCTCGCCAATCGCCAAATAATGCGATTTTGGGGGTGGAATGAAATTGGATGTTCCACAGTACAGCAGCAGCTGCTGTACTAGTACATGTTCTATGGCCCTTGTGAAGGCTCCCATTGACGTCTCCGTGGATCCCGCAAAGCCAAACCCTTTGGCCCCTGAAATGGTCCTCAATTTCTCCCCCCGATCCCCCCTGAATCCAGTCCTGAAGTTCGACAGTTCTTTGCGTAAGCCTGGCCCTGGCTGGCTTCCATACATGTAGATAATCTACCTACTCTAAACCTCTTTGCTCGCTGCAAAGTGGGAACGCCCTTACTCAGTGGTGCGTGGCTAGTCTACGTTAGGCTCAGCCTAGCTAGCTATCCTTCGGGTCCGCCACCTCTGCATGTGTGGCTCTTGTGTCCCTGCTGGCACAATGAGCTACCGCCGTTCTCTCTGGGATGCCGATGGTGCACTTGCACTCTTCCGCTCATCTTGCCCCCCTTCCTCCCGCTCGCCTTCCCCTCTACTGCCTCCATTTGCTCATCGCACCCCCCTTCCCATAGCCTCCCCCGTTTTGCTGTGCTCCCGTCCTCTCTGCCAACCCAGTACAACCCACCACTGAAACCGCTGCTCTGCCCAGCTTAGCCCCCCCCCTTGTTGCTCCTTAATAACGTATCTATTCAGTAGTATTTGTTTCACCTAGACTACTCTAAACCCCCGTTAGGAGTTTTCGAACACGCACACTTGCGCCATACGATACCGGTACCAGTACCGGAACCGCACAATTCTCGCGACAAAGAGAGCCAAACTTGTCTTTGCAATGGCTACTGGTAGCTGGCTAGAAGTACTGTACGCTGTCCCCGCCTGGGAATTTCTTACCATCCTTGGCTGCTTGGCCAGTACCGTGCCCCCGTCTCGTTCTTCAAGCCACACTAGAATCACATGCAGTACGGTAGGTGAATTCGATACTTTAGCGTCTAGTTCATTATAGGTTTGGCTATGGCTAGCCAGCTTGCGGTTTCCTCACTGTCTCTCCAGTGCGTCAGCGGTGGGCTACCGGTATCACCCATTGCTTATCGCAAGCAATTCAACTGTTTGGCTTTGATTGGCGGCCCTGGAGGCGCCTGTTGCCCGCTACCGGTAGCGGGCAACAGGCGCCTTTCCTTTTTGATATCCGGGCGCCCCCTCTGTTGGTTTCATCGCCGACCAAGATTGGTTCGTTTGGCAGTGGAGCAAGCTGGCTGTTTTCGCTCAAGTAAGAAATGA